AAATGCCTTGTTTGAAGTGTCTGATGACATCACTACTGATCAGAAGTTTTGAGAATGACATAAGTCTTAATCAAATTACTTTGGCAATACTGAGATTCAGAAATATACTAGTATATGGCAGGTATACCTACAATGCTTACCTGCAGACATCACTACAGATCAGAATAGTTGAGTTTGTTATCACTTTGGTAATTACTAATATTGAGATTCAGAAATGTATATGGCAGGTATACTACAATGTTTACAGGTGTACTACAATGTTTACAGTTATACCACAAAGTGTACCTGGTGGTACATAGTGAATTAAAGGACAAATTTTCATGAAAACATACCCATTTGTGGTGAGCATTTTACATAAAACATATTTACCTGGTACTTACACTGCCAAAACAGTACATATGACTAATCAATTTTTTCAGCATTATACCGATTCATTTTGCATAATTATGAAAAGTAAAATTTTGCTTAATAAACACACCATGGCTTATGTCCCTTGCAATATGACATCACTGGTGCTAATTGATAAATGATTAACATAAATAGACCTTATTAGACCCATTTCATGTGGTGTAGGTACACTGTGTGGATCCTGTGCCTTGATGTGCAGTTTATATAACCACGAGGATCCCAGAGAGACAGGTTGAGATCACCAGCAACCGGTTGTTAATGATTTCAACCTTTCTCTCCTCCTCACCCTTCACAAATGTACACAGAAGTTTTGAATTACGGTACTTATCAGCCTTTCTTACCTTTTCCCTCATATCAGACATGAGAACAGCAAAGCACAAAAACACTGAAAATTTAATCTTGGGGGTCTTTTATTGCAGATTTACACCAGTCTCAAAAACATTCAAAATGAACAAAAATCCAGGAAATCCACAGACAATATTCTCATGTCTGTCATATACAATGAAAACTCCAATAAGAAATTAACATGCTCACATGTTTCTGATTACTTAATGTCACATATATGAATCTATGTTCCCTGAATCAAAGAAGGCCCTGCAGCAAATCCCACATACTCATGTCAGTGAACACACCATTTTGTTTAGATTGGTCATCGGTAGCGATGGCATATGTCAACATTTTTGTACATATTTGGTATTTTTCCTGAGGTGAATGGTTGTGAATAAAGGACGAATGATCAATATATCCTACTGCTTACAGTTTCAATTAAAATACAACTTCTGTGTATCCTTTCACATCGTTTTCCACACAATCAAAATCACTATGGACATATTTTGCGTTGGGACTAGACGGAGCCCAGTCTCAGTTGGCACCAATTATATCATAATCTTAGGGGGGTAACTCAGGCCTGGAAGGGTAAAAAACAAAGGCCTCATAATGGCATCATGTCAACACTTAAGTTATATAGAGAGAGACTTCTAGTTTCAAAGGGATAAAAATCAGTGTGTATTTAGAAACATATATTAACTAATTCTAACTTCTGTCTTCTGATAAGTGATCTTTAGTGTACAGTTCCCCTTTAAACATTACAAGCAAGGTTTTTTTTCATAAACCTTACATAAAAATCCAAAATTTAGGGAATAGTCAATATTAAATAGAATCAACAAAAAGACAATGCCTGCATTCAAATAAAAATAATAGCTGTGCACTGTTGTTCACCTGATCCATTCAATGTGATCTGAATGGTATATGTTAAAATCTTTAACCAGCAGGCAAGGAGAGATCATGGTCCAATCTGGTCAGTTTGTTAATAGAGGACTGTATAATCTTCTTGCAATATTTCAAAATTTCAGAGAAACACATTCGTACCTGTTTTTCTATTTTGGTTTTCCCGGTGATGTTCACTGAATATAATCAATTTGATTCCATAAACAAACACGTATATGATCAGGAAGTTCTTAAAACCAGGTGAGTGAATCCCAAAACAATGTACAATGTAAGGGCCAACAAACATCAGTGTTGTGAGGCTGGACACAAAGAGTTATCAATGCCATGTCCCTGTTAGGTTAGTACCTCAATAAAGTTAGCCTCACACCAAAGTGGGAAAAGACCACACTTGAACATGTTTAGCATGTTTACTCAGGACAAACAGGTGACCAGGATCCCTGCTGACCCCTGTTGCTACATGGCTAGGTGACACTGATTCTGACCAGACTGAGTGGTGACCCACATCCACAAGACCTCTTAACTAGCAACATGCTGGAGCGGTGGTGTCATCCCTGATAGCTTCAGTGGGACTATCTAAAGAATGTCTTAATCCATATCAGACATCATCACACAGTCAAGGCCCTATGACAACTTAGTATGTAGTGAACAAATGTTTGAAGGGATCTGTTTCTTGCAGCTATTAGATAATATACCAATCATATATATAATTACAAGAAGAAACCGTCACACTTCTTGAAAAAGCCTGCCAATACTGTTCTCATGATTTATCTATTTCAGTTATAACTCTTAATTAACTAAAAGAATACAAAGGATGCAAAGGATTGATCATAGAGATCCTGTATCAGTTGAAAAAACAAATAGAACATTTACAAAATGTAAATGATGGGCAATATTTTTTTCAGTGGTACAGCACAAATTCCAATAATAACTCCTCAAAATACAAACTGTAATAATTTGTAATTTTTTTAAAATACACAACATACTTAGAGATAACAATTTAAATAAATGAATGATTGGTTAAGACAAACATATTATGTCCAATGATGAAACACACCAGCCGACCAACCAATGACAGTTGGAAATGACCCCAAGGATATACCTGTTACTGTGTGCAAGTCCTGTGCGAACAATGTGACTGATGTATCAGCACATGATTGATTACACTGCATAACCTCACCTCACTTATCAATCGCATGTCAACAACATCAAGGTAAAAATAAACTTACCTGTAAAAGCTCCACTACACCCTGTGTACACATATTCGCGGGTGTGTTATGTTTGAGTGTGAGAATTATAGTGAGTTATTATTCATATTCATTGCAGTCACAGATCAGCACCCCTGATGTGAACCAGTGAACAGCCTCCCAATACAGCCTTGCTCATTTAAATGCATTCACTGCAAGCAAACTTTGCCTCCATTTATTTACATCATATTAAGTCCAATGCGCACAAAAAGCATGAGATTCACGCAAGTAGACAAAATCCACTACTCCATGATGCTGCGGTTTCATCCTTGTAAAGTTAACATTTTCATACATTTCATTGACTTCATTCACATTCCCAGGCTGGAGCCCACAGCAGATTGTAGTCGCTTCTTCAACTCTACTGAGCAGGTGGTTTGATGTCATTTTATGCCATGCCCAGCACTGCTGCCGGTAACCTATTCTGCTTCACAATATTACCTTCGAGCAAAGAGTAACCGGTAAAGGATATTGAAACAGGTGGAAACTGTCACTAAACATTATAGTGTCAAAAATCTTGTGGCACTCATGCATTAGACAACTGTCCAATTACCACATCCACTCTGAAGATCAGATGCAACAGAATGAATCATGACCCATATGCCTGGGCAAAACATGTACTGAAAGTCATGACAAAAATAACCAAAATCAGTCACCTAGAGAATCCAATTATTGTTTGCTCATCACATAATAAACTGTATCATTTATGAATGAACATGATATGATATAAAAAATATTTCATGATACTGTCATCTGACCATGGAACTTAACATTTAAAGCCAAAAATACATGATGATTGGGTTGCATCTAGAAGTGAATACTACTGAAAATGTTACAACCCACAGACATATAATTGAAAAAAATACTAAATGTTTTTTAGAGAAAATATCAAATATTGTGACTTTTGAATTACTACAAATGAGTCACTATGCAATGACAAATCAGATAATCTAAAGCCAACATACAAAGTAAAGTGCAGCAGCCTTAGGCAGTAAATTAGGATGACTGACGACATTACAAAACCGGTAATCACAATTTGATGAGAAGCCACAGGGTATGCACATGAACACTGCATATGTTCCTTGCTGACACAAAAACACAGCTGATATAGGTGGGAGGTGTATGCTGGGAAAATGAGGACAATTCACAACTAAACATCTGCGTACAATGCACAATAACTTGCTGTCATAAAATAATCTCTGTCCTAAATGCCTCACTTCAAAGCAAATCACAAGAATTTGTATGAAAACGCTTCATCAAAAGCAATGAATGTTTAGAATCCAATCGTCTGAACTGTCAACCAGGGGTACCAGAAGTACATCAACCTGTGATTGAGAAGTGCATGAGTGCACGTAGGGAAAGCACAATAAAGCTAAACCACCACAGGTTGACAAACTGTCCATCAGAATTGCCATGCTCATTTCCAATAACACTAAACATGCCATTTTAGCAAAACCTAGTGAAAAGTATAGACAGCATAATGTCACAAAAGCCAAAAATAGGCATTGATTTCCGTCGTGTTTTCTGTGCATAGACCTACTTTCTTAAATTAACATCCATATGTTGAGAATATTTGTCCCGGCAGTGAAGTAGGAAAATCCACACTACCTTTCTCCCCCAAGAAATCTTAGCTTTCTGTGAAACAATTAAATCCAGTCAATCTGAAGTAGCCTTAACATATGAAACAAAATTATCTGAGAACACTGACATAATGACTACTTCCTGTTTCCATTCCTTTAAAGGACTCCTCGTGGTACTGGCAAGAGTGTGGAGTCAGGATATAATGCTGCTTGGAGTATTCTGATTAAAGCACAACAGCTTAATTCAGCACCAGAAGCATAAAAAACCACATGCATCAGGTTAACTGACTAAGATCATCATAGGGACATATCGATGATTTGAATGCAAATTGATAGAACCTAAGGGAGGCAACTCTGCACAAGGATTTGAGTCTCCTTCAGCCCCTGTGCTACTCACTCTCTTGGTGTTCATAAGACTTGGGCACAAGAGGGCTGGCTGTGTGCAGGAAACGGTGTCCTAAAACAATGTCTTTGGAATTACCCCATGTATTCATGGTCTTGAGAGTGTATATATGTGTGGTCTGTGGTGGTCTGAAAGCATTACCTGTCACCTTGAACTGGTCCCTCCATGTTCACCACATCACATTGTCTGAAAACAAACACAAAACCATGCAACTTACACATGCACCTTTACACTGGGATACAGTTTATTTCAATGTGTCCCATACATATGTGTGGATATTCCCCTTGAAATTTAAATGCACCAACAAGAACAAATACTTTGATCAACACTAAAATAGCTCTAGCCCCAGAACCATCAATTTTTAATGGTTTGGGTTCCATCCTCCAAACAGCTCTTAACTATATCAATAACTGCATCACTCCCATGTTGCTTGGAAACATAGACATTAGTTGCTTCCGACCCTTTCCTAAGAAGCGCACCCCCTGCCACCCTTTCAGGGGAAGCTAAATATATCAATTACTGTATTAATGTCTTTAGTAAGTACGCAATTTTATCATTTGATAGGAAGTTTGCAGCATAAGACATTATGGCCAATTCAGATGCGATAATAGTCAAATTATCTATTTCAAACACTAATAAGGAGAATGTCAAAGACAAATCGGAATAGTAGATGCAAAGGTTTGGCATCTTGAGAGTCAATTCTTTTAACATGTTGAATACTGCCATGGGCCGTAATGAATGAGGATTCATACAAACAGGATCTTGACGTCTGCACAGTTTGTTGCCACACTTCCATTCCACTTTGTCCAACCCCCTCCTAGTCTACATTGCTCAAGTTGTTTTCTTTTACTTTTTCAATCTAATTATTGAAGAAACCAAATACTTTTCACTCAAAAAAGAACTTTTTCTGCAAAGATTTGTAAGGTAACGGACTTTCATGTTCTCACTAAGCTTGTGAAATTATGTGATGAGGCATGAAGATTTACACCATTTGTGACTTGGTCACCAGTGATCTTTTTCAGCTGGTAAGCTTTACTGAAAATAGTCAATGTATTCATTTTGAAATCAAATGAATAAATGTCAAAGAAAAACTGGGAGTAGTACTAGTAGACGCAAAAGTTCAACACCTTGATTATTCTATCAAACAATTAATGTGAAAGGTAATCTGGAGACAAGTCATAGTGTTGTGTAAAAGTATCTGTGAAGTTCTTATGCCAACAGACTATGTATGCTTCAAAGTTGGAACAATAGTGAAAAAACACCCTGTTAAAATTAGTAAAAACACTAACAGAGTACTTGATATTTTGAACATTTCAAATACTGCCACAGATAACTAGTAACTTCACAATGCACAAAGCACCAGCGCATCGCCAGCAATCTTTGCATAAATCGTTTATTTTATTATCGATTAATATTTTGAAGTACATTATTATTTTGATGTTGCACCACCCTGATAACAAGTATTGCCATATTTTCTTTTTTTGCCTAAGATAATGCATTGCGCCAAATATCAGTAGAGGATGTAACGTGTACGTGAGACTGTCCCCCAGACTACCTGAATATGATACTGATAGGAATAGGCACACCATGCTAGCGACCATAACCAATCAAAAACATTGAAACACATGTTAAGTATTAACAGGCATTTGGAGTGATTACACAATGCCATTTAGATTACACAATGCCATTTTGAAAGTGGTCAAATGTAACATATGTTATATTTGGGATTACACTTTCTTAGTAAAGTACAAATTCTAGTACTTTTTGAGGTGAGCCCCATCCGGGATTCGAACTCACACCCTCAGAGTCAGGCACCTAATCGTATTTGGAGAATGGTGAGCTATGGTACCAACTTGCCATCCAGGTAATGGCTGCTTGTTACACACAAAATGTCGGAAATGCAGTATTCCAATGTAGATCATATCGTGACCTCAGTATCGAGATACGTATCATATCATGAGGCATCTGTATTGTGGCATCCCAACAGATAAGAGTGTGGGTGAATTACGATTCAAACCCACAAGACTATCTTGACAGTTGTGAAATGTCTACAGATAGTAGATGCACTTTCATTCCACTTGTGTCCTCCACAAAGGAAATCAGTTTACCCCATGAGGATTCTAATGTCCCATGCTGTGATACTGCTGAAAAGTGCCTACGTACCATATTGACTCACTACTGTCATCAGGTAAGCCGTAGACTCAGGAAAATACTGCATAAGATACCAGTAAGAAATGACAAATACCAAAAGTATTTCAGTTATATTCTGAAAATCAGCTTGATGTGGGAGAAAAGACCAGAGTGACATCTTAGATGTTAACCAATTTTTCAAATCCAGTGAGATATTGAGAGCCCAGACCATGATCATGTTTAATCTTGGATTCAAACCCAAAACCCTTGGCCTCAAACATGGCCAACTGACACTATTCTGCACAGGGATAGTGATGCCTTTCATGACTGGGCCCTAGTAAATCCTTTGAATGTTAATATAATGTCAGTCCAAACCACAAAGAGACACAGGTGACAAAATAGCGCAATACACAACCATAAATAGATGACATTGGCTGTTCCAATATATACAATAAACTTCATCAATTGGAATTTTCTTGAATGTGCAGCAGATGCTCATGAGGTTAACACCTTCATCACAATATCCAGCATGTTCAGTCAAAGGTTTAACGTGTTACACGTCATCAGAAACAAACCTGGTACAGATATTTGTTACATACTTTATCTCATAAACCCTTCAAGCACTTTCAGCTTTGGAACAGGCAGTGAAAACTGGTAGTGGTAGGAAACACATCAAATGATAAGATTTTATGGTAAAACTTAATTGAAGCAATGTTCACTGAAGACATATGGTAATACAAATATACACTAAATCTGAAATTGTGCAAATGAAGAAATGCAGCTACATATAAGTGTATGAAGTTGAGGGGTGTCCTTTGGAACTTGACCATGATGTTGTTAGCTGCTGAAGTAGTTGACTCCAGGAACCCACAAGTTATATGATACCCTTATTTTCTTGTTTATTTTGTAACGGTGATCATCAACTCTGATAAACAATGAATATGGTGAGGTGGATTTACAACATTCAACAAGGTTGCAGTTCTGGATGTCAGTCATGCACACAATATTGAGTACTCACTAAAATAAATATCATGCATCATTGTACGTCTAATTATCTAGTTCTATTGTAAATGGACATCCATATTTGAATTTGTGTTTGGAATCACTTTAACATTATGCTTATACATCAACGTAAGGAAAATGACAGATGTGTACCATCACCCTGAAGTCTTAGGATATAGAGAAACACTATGCAAGGAACCAGCCACGTAAGTTTTACCAGCGAAAGAAGACTGACTTGGGAAATATTTTTATCGATTAATCACTCTAGAACATCTTAGAGAGTCTGGACTTTCAGTTTCATCAAATCAACAGTATAACTGAAGGTTATGAATCCAAATCTACATAAAATGTACAGATATGTTTGTCTAATCTACAATGGGGTTCCACTGCAGTCAAAGCTGTCAGCTATGTACCATGTTAGATGTAACAGCAAAGAAACATATCTACTAGAGGACTAGGTTACTAACTGACAAATGTAATGTAGAAAATATAATAATGTATTTCACAGACACAACAATTATGAACCTGGGATAGACTTTGTGTCAATAACCTTTGTACCTAATTCTTTATGTTGACAACTTCCTTAACATTATTGTTCCTGATTATTATACCAAAGTGTATGGGTAGAACAAGGGCTTCATGATAATCTGCATACTTGTTGTCTTTCAGAAATGTCAAATCTCACACACACTATCACTGAATATTGTGTGTTCAAATCTACACATACCTGGCTACATGTAAATACAAACGACAACATTTGATTTTGCAAGATGTCATTTTCTGTTTGCTTGCACCTACTCACCTGTATACTGAACCCATTTTTAAATCAGGATCGATATGTCTCAGGTTCCCTGACGTAATTAAATATATAAGTAATTTAACTCAAAATCGCTGCACGTGATGTGTGTGTCTACATTTGGCCACTTGTCCTTTCAACCCTGTATCATCTGGTCTCGTTATGTCAAATGACAGTTGTCAAATGGTGAAGAGTAGCGATTGTTCCTCAAAATCAGATAGTAGAGCGCAAAGAATATTCTACGCCTGTGTCAATTTTCATAATTTATAAAAGGAAGCGACAGTGGTTGACGGTAGATTTAATATTCATGAACAACTTACCAGACAGAGGCGAACAGGATCGATATGTTCTGAAAACACAACTGTGCTTCCGATCTCAAATGGGATGGGAACCTCTTCCACTCGAACGTCGAGATTGCATTCAACAAAAGGGCTCTGTTGGAATTTTGCCTTTCATTGAATTATTGCTCAGTATTTACGAAAATTTTGATTGATTTGTAAAGGAATGCCGAAAACTTCGGTTTCCTCCCATCGAGTCATCATCAAAGATGGCGGAATGTTTTACGGAAATCTCGCATGATCTCGAAGGGAAAGATACCTCATGCTAGTTGGTGTAAAACTATTCATTTAGCACGTTTCAGTGCGATATGGCGCTGTGTATCGTTCAGCCACCGAAACGCATATGGTGGTGTTAATCTAGTATTTTGAAGACAAGATACGTGTTTGAAAGTATTAGAGACACACCAGTGATTAGACAGAGACTGATATACTCTGATGGAATTGTTATTGCTGTCAGAAGAAGTTCTTCAGAATTCTACAACGACTCCCAACTGTCAGATTTACGAATGAGATGAGACGTCAGTCAGATCGGAACACTTACTGTGATATTTGAAGTTAAAAAATGTGATTATTGATCTCTGTCAATTTTAACAAGTTTTCAAAGTATAGAACAAACTCAAAAATGTTTTCGATCACATAAATTCACCTCTCTGAGAGTGAGTTTTGGGTTTACGCCGCTTGTAGCAATATACCAGCAATATCACAGCGGGGAAAATGGGTTTCACACACTGTACCCATGTAGGGAATCGAACCCGGGTCTTCAGCGTGACGAGCCAACGCTTTACCAAGTGCTAGGCTTACAATCGCCTCTACCTCTCTGTGAATTTTATCCTCCAGTTATAATTATACTGATTTAATACGATGTATACATGTATTTCATGTTCGTTCTTGGCACACAGTCGCATACCTGTGCAAATACACCACACACACCCTAGATGCATAAATGGATCACCTCTCAGTTTCATAGTAAGAAAATAATGATTTGTGAAACCCACATCGTGTCACGACAAAACGCCGAGATCGAATTCAGTTCGACACAGAATTTTTCATATTACTTATTACTCAACAAAAATGAAAGTAACACAAGCCCGGAAATTTCCTAGCGTACTTTAAACTGAATGGGGTCATTGAAATCCCCTAAACGACGGATCCATGTTATGAAGTACGGAAGTACTTGAAGCGCGTAGAAAATCTTGCATGTGTCCTAATGTATGAAAGTGAGGAAAAGACGCATGCGCCCATTTCAAAACAATGTATTTCGTGCTTTATATCTATTTCTATAAATCAAAGCTTACAGCAGACGACAAAGAAAAAATACGGGAAAACTGTAAAATAATAGTATTACAGAGAAGCCTCCACGCATATACAAGCATATTCAATGCACTATATAGGACAAGTTCAGGTCATTCTGACCTATATAAATTGAGTCTCTCACACTTCTCAATTTTTTTTCAAAGATACAATACCGATCTTGGAGAATTATTATATAGTTTAACTTTTACAGGTAACTTCAATATACAACCGATATATTCACAGGACAGTTTGTCGCACATGTGTTGTGTTCATGTGTTTTGGTGTGCTTGGGCGTCGTTGACACTGCACGGTACGGAACGCTCTCATCCGTTGTGAGGCAATGAGCCTTGAAACTCGACTTGGGCAACATTACACAACATGACACATGTCGAGCTTACAATACTGTTTTATTATGACCACAGTAGGTCTTAAGATCAGCTATATTTGATATGTATGTATGTGGTAATTCCAAGCAGGTTTATCTGGTGTCTTTTCAATGTGCTCATACGGTACGCCCTTAAACATAGCGTACACAATCGAATTTCGAAATGTGTAATTTCGCAACATGTGGAAATCCACCGGGTTTGTAGACTTAGATAGATGAATCTCCATCGCTACAAGTTTAATAAATCATAACAAATGAAACGTACACTTACAGGTATTTTTATAACACGCAACTATATATGCATTTATATAAATACAATCGTGCAATAATACTTTTTGATCAGGGGTTGTCCTGTGAAAATGGGTACTTTGGTCCATCGAGACTTGTTGAGTTTTTATAATGCGACCATTTTGTTATCATCTCATGTTAATCGAATGATTAGATCGAACGGAAAGAAAATCCCCCAAACCGGCGATATTTATAAATGTGAGTATAAACCATAATCATAAACATGTTTAAAACAAAACATATTTGATTTTAATGTATATTTTTAAGCCTAATCCAATTTAGTTGAGGGTATTAGCAACCGAAACTAGTTCAGGTGTACCCGTCATTATACAAAGAAAGGTTTATTATGTAGCCGTGTCATTGTATATGGAAGAGGTTGTGTTTTTACGTTCTGGTTTTGCAATAGGTTGAAAGGGTTGCGTAGGAGTAAACGATTAACATATATCTATTATGTTGAATGTCACAGACCTTCTAAACAGTTCATTGGAAGATAGTTTTGCGCGCACGTCGGTGCGTGTTCATCCGGGCATTCTGTCATAGCGCAACCAGAGTTCGAGAAGTATGTGGACGAACGTAGTTGAACTTTCGCATTGTCTCGTGTTAATTGCTTGAATTTTCAAATCGTTTTTATTCAGAAATTTTCTTCATCGAATGGGTTAGTTATCTCTGTATATTGTATTTTCAGATTCTGGTGTATGAGAAATACTCGCAGAAGGAAGATTTCATCTAACATATTGGGACCAAGTTCCCCAGGGCGATTGCCAAATACAGTTTGCTTACAAATTTCTTCGCTCATTTTTAGCGTTTTTATGACGTTTGTGCGACCAGACGGTAAGTTTGATGTTTTTAGCTTTCATTTACGTCAGTTGTCAATGTAAATTGTCGTAGACATGTCCTATTATGATGAAATATGTTGAAATGTCGGCCATATTGTTCCGTGATAAATCTGCGACATCAACACGTGGCGAAGGTGTTTGCCGTCACTTGATTGACAACACAGTCTGCTCATCGTATTATTTACTTCCCTCAAGGACTGGTATTTTGTGATACGCCTTTGACCACATATAGTCTCATAAGCCAGGATAGGTAGCTGTTAGGGGAAATATTTATGATTTCACCTCGCGAACAAGGTCAGTATAACACATTTTAATAGTTGTTCAAACCTTGATGTTCTGTTACAAAGATAATGGTAAATGCAATGCTACCACCTTTTAGAGCATGTATCAATAGGGGAGGAAGCTCCGGACAGTTGCCTGTGCTATCAAGTATGTCAGATTGCCCTTACGTTCAGATCTATAGACCTATATCCATCTAGGAGTTATCCTACTTCTACACTAAATGGTGCATGTGGATAAACTTGAAATGGCTACCAGTCTGTAGATCATAGTTCCCAATTTAAATAGTTATTGTCAGGTGTTGTATCACTTAGGATGTCATATGTGGAAAGGCTCCACATCCTGCTACATTCTCCCTTGTCAACAGAAGGTACATCCCAGCTGCATGGTTGGGTACTGAGACTTATTTTCCTCGAGTTTAATGTGAACTCCCTCAGCCGGGTGTGGATGTAGCGGCCTACAAGTTCAGGGTCCTTTACTGAGCCTCGAACCATACATGTTCTGATCTGAAGTTGGATGCCTTGTCCACATGGCCAGAGAGGTTAACCCCATCAACAAGCTGACATTGTTAGGATGTCATGTATGGGAAGACTCCATACACTGTTACAATATGGCATTACTGTATGGTATCACTATGTGAGGCACATAATACAATGCATGGATTTATAACTCATGTATCCTGTACAGATGATTCATTACAAGTTATATTCATGTCAAAACATTCAAGAACAAGTTTATGCAGATTTCTTATATTTCCTGATGGCCACAAACAGCAGAATCTGCAGTGCCCCTAAGCTGGCATGTTTCTCCCTAGCAATATCCCATTTTTGCCACCTGAAATTTGAACAAATTACTGAGGGTTGTTATTCGCCTGACAAAAGGGAGATAATGGTTACTCATGAAAAGAGAAGTAATGGGTGAGAGTTCCTTACGTACCCCCAACCAATTTTTTTCAAACAATACAAAGATATACAAGTAATGAAAAGTACCTTATAAAATGGGGGCAGGGTGGGGGGTACGTAAGGAACTCTTTCCAAGTAATGTATCAGGATATGAATCGTGTCACAACCACTTCACTGTTTTGTTTCACCTTGAGTTTAGTCATGCGGGTGAGGTTTGTTGACCTTGTCATAATAATAAAATCCCAATTGTATGATTCATTGCTCTTAATATCAGTGTCAGGGTTTCTCTGATTCAATTAAAAGATTAAGAGTGGTAGTGGTGTTCCGATTAATTGAAATAATCGAAGATTGGTTGCAGTGACCAAATGACCAAGCAATCGATCATATTGTCTTGTAGTCGAACACAAACACTTTTGGAACTACTGTTTTGGTGTTTAGAAATTAGAACACTCGACGATGGAACAAACCTTAGATGTCAGGGCCTGAAAACGTGTTTAATTCTCAGAAAACGCACTTCAGTTACTGAAAATTCATGACTGAACATTTCTTGAAGACTGCAGGAACTTTATGTTCATGATCTATTAGTTTCACTTTAAAGTTGCATCATTTTATACTTATATGCAAATACAACCTGGATAAGAAAAATCTGAAAAATGTTGCTAACCAATTTTTTTCATTGATTGCTAGTTTGTAATGAAGTAATCATGAGTGTGTTTAGTTTAACACCGCAATCAGCAATATTCCAGATATATGGGGCGGTCTGTAGATAATCAAGTCTGGACCAGTCAATCCAGTCATAAACAGCATGAACATCTATCTACGCAATTGATAAAATGACATGTATCAACCAAGTCAGAGAGCCTGACCACCCAATCCCATTAGTCTCCTCTTACAAGCATGGGTTACTGAAGATCAATTCTAACCTGGATCTTCACGGGTCTTCACAAAAACCAAAAGCCTGATTAGTATATACTTGTACTTCTAGTACACTCAAAAAGATGAAACGCAAAAGTCGTTTTCAAAGGAATAGTCTGTTTAAAATATCTAAATAATCAACAAATCATAATGAATTGTTCAAATTTCTCAAAAGTCAAAGTGCCTGGAGAATGTTCACCCACTCTTCCTGCAGTGCTGATGCCTACTTTTGTAGGTTCAATGGCTGTTGCTGATCAAGAGCATCCCATTAATGGCTCATGTGTTTACATCTGGCGACTTGTTGTGGTTCCTCGTCATTGCCCTGGACATTTACCAAATCTGTTCTCCTGGCATGGGAGATGTCAGCCCACACCATCACACTTCAACTACGCCTTTCCACTTCCTGCATAGAGTTTTGAGCATAACATTCTCCACGTCGTCATTACATCTTCTGTCTGTGAAGAAGCCCGTGAACATCCGGGGTAGAATAGGTCTTCAGCAACCCACGCTTGCCACAAAAGGCGACTATGCTTGTCGTAAGAGGCGACTAACGGGACCGAGTGGTCATGCTCGCTGACTTGGTTGACACATGTCATCGGTTCCCAATTGTGCAGATCGATGCTCATGCTGTTGATCACTGGATTGTCTGGTCCAGACTCGATTATTTACAGACCGTCGCCATATAGCTCGAGGATTGCTGAGTGCGGCGTAAAACTAAACTCATTCACTCACTCTGTCTGTAAAGAGAAGCAAGCAATACAATATGACTTGTCACTAAGCCAAACATGTTGTGGCAATACTATCCTTGACACCATTGATGTCGCAGCCAACTATGCAGATTAGTTGGAAAGATGTGGCAAACTGGGCTGAAATCCTGCGCAATCCTGGTCTTGATGTAGCTTTTGACTTGGAAAAACTTTGCTGTTGCTAAAGCTGAGTCGCCTTTCTCCAGCTGATGAAAGGCATTTTGGCAAAAAGCTGTCAGTCATGGCATGTTTTCATTTGCTGAACAGTTGTGATGACAAATTAAAACCCATCAATTTCCCAAGCCCAACAATTCATGATGCATATTCTTTTCATGTTGGTGTGTTTGGCCTCTATGCTCCCATGTGGTGCCATTTTTGTGTTTGCCCCACTTTTTCAGTAGTTCTTGACCATACTTTATTCTAACCACACAAATCACTCTCGATCCATGCAGACATGAGAAATACTTATTTGGTATTCAGGTTGTATGAATATTACCAAAACTCATATCAGATATTTTAAATTTTCCTACTTGTGTGTTTCTATTGTTTTGCCCCATGGGTACAATGTGTGAAGCCCATTTCTGGTTTTTCTCCTCTCTCTCTCTCTCTCCCCCCCCCCGTGATATTGCTGGAATATTGCTAAAAGCAGCATAAAACTAAACTCACTCAATATTTTTGTGCAGGGTAGTATTAAAGGTCTTTCAAATTGTTGGTCATTGAAAACGTATCAGTTATTGGCAATATGGTTTTCAGAAAAAATAATCGTTTTGCATGCACTCAGCACTCAATTATGTTGCTGAATACACATGAGTTTTGTATCCATGTTGCTCTGGTTTATGGAGTGATATGGAAGCTAAACAATATATGGATTGTTTTGGGTGACACTTCAGTAAAAGGAATGATTTTGATGTTGCAGGGCCCTTGTGGTGGCATACAAGAATAATAGAACCAGAGCTAAGTGGTTTGGGGAAAGATTCGTCAGAAAGGTTTATGAAGTTCCTCAAGCAAGCTGCTCATTTAAATCAAGCAGATAGAAGTATTCATAGGAAGAGGAAACCTTATCAGAAAAATCTATCAAGATGTCGTTCAACATTGATAGAAGCAATACCGACCCCTTCTACCGGTACAAGATGCCTCGTCTCTTAGCCAAGGTGAACATTTTATTGCTATTGCTTGTAACATTCATTCCTCGTAAGTACTGACCATTAGTCTTCCATCAGGATGAAAAGTGCATACCTGGAAAAAGGTGTTCTGACACAATTGATGGTGTGAAACAAGAACTTGTTAAGTTCCTTTCTGAAGTTTTCAACCATTCTGATGATGAAATGAAGGTTCCACAAGAATATAGAAAAAAACCCAATGATTATAAATGAGTCAATGCCTTTGTTCAAATCCTTAAAAATTATAAGACCCATATATATAAGTTGATGCCAGTTTGTGTTTTGTTCAATTTTTCTGTGTGCAATGACATTTGTTTGTAATTGCAGGTGGAGGGGAAGGGAAATGGAATCAAAACAGTTATTGTGAATATGCCGGAGATCGCCAAGGCCCTAGCACGGCCTCCGACTTGTAAGTTGATTACAAAGCTTTGCATGACTCCTGATTAACTGGCTACTTTCCATTTTCCATCAAATGTTTCTATCTTCAGAACACCTTGTTTGAGTTAAATTCTATTTCATTTGTTATGAAGCATTTGTAATTATCCAGTTCGGCATGAGTTCCCCACGTAACCCAGGGGTGGAAATAACCCATTCTCCGCTGTCCGAGTCCAGTGTTTTTTTCTGTCGGGCAAGCAAATTTGTATATCACGCTGTATCAGTGTCCAGTTGACTTTCCAATGTTAATAATGTTTATTTAAAAAAATCAACAAGAAACGGCCAGTATAGTGGAAAAATTATCAGGGCAAGTGATTTTAGATGTGCCACTGTACCGGAGTACACTAGCAATTTTAAAGTTATTTCCATCCCTGGTAACCCCTGATTCAAATGTATTCTATTTATTATGATTATTTCGAGGGTTTAGTGGGGGCAGTGGGGTAGCCTAGTGGTTAAAGCGTTCGCTTGTCATGCCGAAGACCCAGGTTCAATTCTCCACATGGGTGAAATGTGTGAAGGCTATTTCTGGTGTTCCGTGCTGTGATATTGCTGGAATATTGCTAAAAGCGGTGTAAAACTAAAGTCACTCGCACGAGGGTTTAGGGTTCAGGCATGAGAATTTTCCCACATATCTGAGGAATTCCGTGAATTTGATTGCACTGGGGTCGTTGGATCTGGTATTGGGAGCTATGGCCACCAACACCCCAGACTCATTTCCTCTTTTTTTCACTCCTACCCATTCTCATCTCTGAGGGTTAGTGTTAGTCTTTTTATAAAAACCATCTACTCTTTTGCAAAGAATGACAAAAAAGGAAAAAGGGGATTACGGGCGGAAATTTTTCCTACTGTTCATTACACTTATAGTACAATTGTATTTGCAGATCCCACCAAGTATTTTGGCTGTGAACTTGGCGCACAAACCCAGTTCGATTTAAAAAATGATCGCTTCATTGTCAATGGCTCTCACGAATCCAACAAGCTTCAGGATCTGCTTGACGGCTTTATCAAGAAATTTGTCCTGTGTCCGGAGTGCTCCAATCCGGAGACAAATCTTGTAAGTTGGTTGATATCTCACTGCAGTGTACTACAGTGTACAGTTTAGCCTGAATGGCTCGGGGTAATCTCATCACTTAAGAATATTTTTGTTGTGTTTTAGTTTGTTTGTACACTGTGTCAAATAGTGTATTGTTGAAAAAGTCTGTTCGCTAAAGAGTTGACAAGCCATACTTTTTTTGTTTTCAGTAGATTTTAATCTGAATATATGGACTAAGCTTTCGTGTATTTCTGAACTTGTAACACTGAATTGTAACTTAAACTCCATTCTAAACTCAGTCTTACATGATTTCTAGATTTTAAAAAATGTTTTATGCAGGCATGATGAGTTATTTTGTGTTGGATTCCCCATCAAGAGTCTTGACTGAGAACAAACACTCTGACTGCTAAATTACCAGTGTTATTTTATGACCAAAGATTTAATGAAAACAAGTAACAGTAATGTTTTATACACGTGGGAAGTTAACAGTATCTTTTGTTTTGTTGCAGACTGTTCATGCCAAGAAACAAACCATATCCCAGCGCTGCATTGCTTGCGGGTATACTGGCAACATCCCATTGACTCATAAAGTCACAACATACATTTTGAAAAATCCACCAGACATGGTATGTTGTACATTTATTGGTTTGAATCTTTTGACAAATTCTTTTTTCCAATTGGAGTGTTTAGGGCGTCAGGGTAGCCTAGTCGGTAAAGCATTGGCTCGTCACGCCGAAGACCCAGGTTCGATTCCCCACATGGGTACAATGTGTGAAGCCCATTTCTGGTGTCCCCCCGCTGTGATGTTGCTGGAATATTGCTTAAAACAGCGTAAAACCAAACTCACTCACTCACTCTTGGAATGTTTTGTGATTTCCCAAGCAGAAATTCAATAAGATTAAATGTTATGTGAATTGTATATAAATTTCAGGAAGTGTCGACAACACCCCAGAAAGGTGGCAAAAAAAAGGAAAAAAGAAGCAAGAAAGGAGCAGTGAATGGGGACAAGGAGGATGATCGTGCCAGCCCAGAAGCCAATGCACAGGAACAGATGGCTGCGCAGCGAGCTTCTGGAGGCGTGATTGATGCTCCACCGGAAGAGGTGAGTGTTTCATCCTTGAAATCCTTGTCATGACTGCAACATCCCTGCTTTACCAGATTTGTTTTTCTTACTAGGGCTGTTATCATTCACCCGTCTATTCGATGAATCAGTGTCACTTCATGAATTTAATTCATTATTCACTGTCACTGGCTTAAAAGTGAATTTTATAGGAAATAGAAGTCCTACTTGAATTTGAAAAATGTGAATAAGGAAAATAAAATATGTAGAAGGCAGGCAGGGCAAGTCAGCATTCTTCATGTATTTACTTTGACAGTAAAGGGGTCATTGTTAGCACTGGTCTGAACATGTTACAGAATTTATTTGATTTTGTTTCATTGAATAGTACATCAGCTGCTGTCTTGTTATTGTATTCGTTACACAATATTTGTGATACTTATCATGCCCGCCTGTGGATACATTGCAGCCCTACCCTTAACACATATTGTGCTTATGAAACAATACAGGTCATTCTCAACCTGGACTACGCTTATTTTTCAGTTTTTCTTTAATCTGAAAACTTGTACAGTAAAGTGATTATCTATTACCTACCTTTTATGTAATTAATACATTGTTTGATGCAGTCCGGTAACTTAATGGAGTGACAGTCTTGGTGACAGTTCACAAATCTACCAAACTTTAAAAGATTTGGTGTGGCAAACATGATGAGTTATTTTGTGTTGGATTCCCCATCAAGACTCTTGACTGAGAACAAACACTCTGATATGTCACCTGACAGATCTTATTTTGTTTAAGTATTTTGAAAAAAAAATTTGGGGGTGGGTGGTGGTGGTTGGAATATACTCATGTTTACTCGGATTCAGACTCGCGAGATAGACGATGATGACTGGGGTGAGGAGACAAGTGCTGAAGCCATCAAACAGCGGATGCAAGAACTGACAGATGCAGCTAAAGGACTTGCTTTCACAGAAGATCTTGAAAAAACATCGGAGGAAAGAGTGGACATTCTCTACAAGTACATTGAGGTAAACACAAGTGTTCACGGTGACATCCTATTTGACAAGCTTAACAATGAATAAGGCTCCTTTGTTAATCTGATATTAAGACCCAATTAAGCCCAAGTCTTAAAATTGGGAATAGCACATATTGAATTGCAACATAAGACACACAATTTGTAATAAGTTTAAAAGAGTTCCTCGTCAAAAAGCATCCTCGTTTTGTCTGCAACAGCGTCCGTTTCCAGAGTGAAAGCTAAGGTCTTTTGTGTCCACTGAGTCATGTACACATGTAATCCCTACGAGTGATATGAAAACTGATGTTCGCCATGTGCTTTTTACCATGAGACATCACTCCCAACCATAAAATTAGAAATTTTGATTGAGGCCCATGTGCCTAACAATGAGGGGAAATCCTGGCTTTAGGCCATGTGCCCAACATTCAGGAAATCCTGGTGTGTGATTTCAAGTCCTCCATCTCTTGGTGCAGAGTTACTTCCCTTGGTTGTCTGGTTGTGCTTGTTACTCTTGAAACTGAGATTTGTCCTGATCGATTTACAATACAATGACTTTCTTATTCAGACTCGTCGTGACAATGGAACTTTGAAGAGTACATTGAAGGAGGTGGTTTCTGAGGCGGAGCGGCTGGAGGTGAAGGACAAAGCTACTCTAATTCTGGTTGAGTTGCTGCTTGGTGCCAAGATCATGACACAACTCAAAGAGCATGAGAAACTCTTCCTTGTGGTACGTCATCTTTGGAAGTGCTGACAACTTGTTAGAGGAAGAATGGGAATTTTTGTCACTAGTGTTCTGAGTAAAAAGTCTGTTCATACGAGTTGTTACTGATAAGTTCAGCTTTCTTGTTATCTTTTCAGTTACATTTGATTAAGCCTAATGCAGACATGATGAGTTTCTTTGTGTTGGATTCCCCATCAAGATTCTTGACTGAGAGAAAACACTCTGACTGCATATTTGAATTAGGCCAAAGTAACTCTACTTGATTATCTTTGGATGAAAAGTGTGTACAGTCTTCCCTCACTCGAATGCCGTTTGAGACACTGTGGTCCCGGTTAAGAATTGCAGGATAATAGCTCCCACAGATACTTTTTCACCCCAACGACCACATATTTTCATGAACAGCTGTGAAACATTGCATTAACTTCTCAAAGACAACTTTATCATGAAAACATGCTATCATCTGACTATGTACAATATTTGCATGATGCAACACACCTCATTATAGTACGAGTAAATACTGCCATCCGAAAACACAATCCAACAATTATCCTGACCTCATTTATTATCTTTTATATTGGTTTAAGTTCAGCACCATTTTCATTCAATAAGGACTTTTCACAGTAACGATCGCAAAACTGTGTGTGAAATAGCATGCTGATTTCTCCTCATTCTATATGCACACAACTTCCAATTACCCTCTTACATAAGGGTCTGCTTTCCAATCATTTTGAGCACCAATTCTCATTATTAGTTATATAATTTTCCCGTTGCTGAGGCCATGTACATGTTCTAGTTTCAATAATCAATTTGGATGCCACGATACATAGATATTTTTTTCTAAGACGATACAATTATCGATACATTCAAAACTGTATCGATATTTAGTTTTGAAAGTATCGATTTAAATATGTTTATGTATCGTTTACATTATGCAATTGTATCGTGTATTTTTTATGTTATGAGAGTTATAAATGATTATTTTTCATGCACAAAGATGGGAAATGAGAACTTTTTCATCTCTGAGAATAAAAAATGTTGATCTTTTCATGGACAATTATAAAATATGAAATATTAATGTTCAAAATGTAGCTTAATTTACGTAATAATGTTGCGAAAATAGGTATCATATGTATCGAATCGTGACATGGGTATCGTGATACGTATTGATTTATGACATCCCTAATAATCAAAAGGTATTAGCTGAATTCTGTGTTGCTGTTTCAGTTCTGCCATGGCAACCAAAAAGCCCAAAAGTACCTGTTGGGTGGACTGGAGCAGCTGGTGGGGAATGTTCACAAGGAGACTCTGCTGCCTAAGATGCCTCACATCCTCAAAGCATTGTACGATTCTGACATCCTGGAAGAGGAAGTGCTACTTGACTGGGCAAAGAAGGTAAGACCTGTGCCTTTGACATCACTTCAGACCAGCTTCAAATATTCCAACTCAGATTATGTTCCCATGAGTTCCTAGAACTGTATGCATTTGTAAGATTTACCTGTAAGATCAGACGTTTAGGATCTATGATTTGACAGAATGGGTCATCTTACCCTGTTAGTGCAAATTATTCCTCACGTTGAATTTAGTTGCCTGGAGACCGTTTCAGGAAGTTCTGTAAGCCCAAGATCTCGTAACTTTTCTCTTAACACAATCTTATGATTTTATGGGTGTTTCATGAAACCTGTGAAACATACTTTAGAGTCAGTCGTAGATCTACAAGAGCTTCGTGAAATGGGTGCCAAGTCAATATATAACAACAGACTGCCTTTATTTTGCTGAAGTATTTCTAACTGGGTCTTTCAACATTAGCCATTATTGCACACTTGTGAATTTCTCATCATAAGCATAAGTTTCCCAAAGCAGTATGGGGGGGGGCGATGGGGTTGCCTAGTGGTTAAAGCGTTAGCTCGTCACGCCGAAGACCCGGGTTTGAATCCCCACATGGGTACAATGTGTGAAGCCCATTTCTGGTGTCCCCCGCCGTGATGTTGCTGGAATATTGCTAAAAGCGGCGTTAAGCCAGAACTCAGTCAGTCAGTCAAAGCAGTATGGGCGGTGGGGTAGCCTAGTGCTTAAAGCGTTTGCTTGTCATGCTGATGATCTGGGTTTGATTCCCCACATGTGAACAATGTGTGAAGCCCAATTCTGGTGTCCCCCGCTGTGATATTGCTGGATTATTTCTAAAGGCGTCATAAAACTGAATTCACTCAGTCACTCCTAAAGCAGTATTTGAACAGGCAATGTAGGTTTGTAGCATGCCATCAAATAATGAATACTTAATTTTTACTTGCTTTTGTTTTTCCAAAATTATCACTTTGAAAATTGGCTACAGGTTTCCAAGAAATATGTGTCGAAGCAAGTTGCTGCGGAGATCCATGAGAAGGCTGCACCATTCATAACATGGCTGCAAGAGGCTGAAGAGGAAACAGAAGATGACGATGATGATGAAAACCTGGAGGTTTGTATAGAAAAACATTTAAGTTCTTTCTATTAAAATTCAGAAACCTGGCATCATAAGTGATACTAAAATAGTTACTGGTAAAGCATATCTTACAGAAATGCATAATTCAGTATCCAATTGATCTATTTTCCACAGTCGTGTGATATTTTTTATTTCAATATACATGTATATGTCATTAATGAACTTAAGTATATAGTATCCCAAGTAAGTTGGTTTAAAGAACAAGGTTTTTACCATTTGTTCCACTTTGACATCAGTGTAAGCTTACAGGTTTTAATTGAGTGTTCTAAATACTAGCTGAATATAGTCCCAAACGAAATTGTCACCATGAGCATGTTTCAAAATTGGGCAATGGTATAGCCTTGTGGTTAAGGCGTTCACTCATCGCGCTGAAGACCCGGGGTTGAGCCATCACATGGGTACAATTTGTGAAGCCCTTTTCTGGTGTCCCCTGCCGTTATATTGCTGAAAATATTATTAAAGACACGTAAAACTCAAACTCGCACATTTCTAAATATTTTGGTATACTAAATTCAATTACAATGCAGTATGGAATATTAAATCAGATATTAATTGCCTGAAATACTTAATGTTTTTAGAAAGGATGTTTATCAAGTGAGTCATAAGTCTGTTTTCTCAGCTTTTCAATTAAATTGTAGCAAATTCTTTTGCAATGACTTCTCAAATGATCTGTTTCAGGTTGTGTACTCAACAACTGAGAGGGTTGGCCAGCAGGAGAAGCCGAAACCTGAAACTGCTGAGGTAGATGACTTCAACATAGATGACATCTAGATGATGCCCAACACAGACAGATCAAACTAGCACTCCCCGCCGAACTGCAAGCTTCATAGCTTATCTATCTAGGACAGATGAACTATCACAGGGGAGAAGACTAGGCTGTTCTGTTGACTTTCTTGTGAACATTCTTGTAGGTTAGGATGGGCCTCCAGTTATAGTGATATCAGTAATCGGAAACTATCTGCCGATACAGAACTTTTGACTCGCAAGTGTCTGATATGTTATACAGACGTTGATCAATTTGACCACTATCTGATCACCAAGAGCATAATTTATTAATATATCATTGTTTAGAGGGCTGATCAGAACAGATTTTCAATGTAATTGTAGATAATGTCGGCTTGTCATCATTTTGTTTGTAATCAGCCTTATTTGTATATTGGGAATTTGTTGAAGTTTACCACTTTTGTTGTAAACATACATTTGATATTCTTTGGAGGTCTGTGGTTCTTAAATTCTTATTTTCTTCCCTGAGTTGGTTCCTTGCAGCTGCAAGGACTCTTGAAATGAACCCATTGAGTTTTGCATGGATTTGACTTGTCAGGATTGACTTGATGAAATGGTGCAACTTGTTTTAGTGATTTGGTTTATGGTATGTTCTGTGAAGCTCTGTATTGTATCAGTTTGTTGTGGCTTTGTATATTTTTGTCAAGTTTAGTTTTTAAAGTTTTATGACATCTTTGCAAAAATATCTATGCTTTGATATTTTATAGTACAGCCTATGCTATCTTATTTCTTCATCTGTGAGACAACTGTGGCTTCAGTGCTGGGATGTATGTGCTATTCATGTGGGGTATTGTTTGCTTACTCTTGAGGTACAACTATATATTACTAAATTATGTAATAAATAAAATGTTCCAATGTTCAAAGTATTTGTTAACATCTATTTTGCTGATTTCTCAACAGTGATCTGCTCAAAGCATTTCAGAACAGTTTAGCAGATTCATGAAATGTGAACACTATTTTTCCAAGTAAAAGTTTTGTTTAAGGCTGCCCTTAGCAATGAGGGTGGTCTGTAAATCCACGAGTCTGGACCAGACAATCCAGTAATTAACATAATGAGCATCAATCTGCATTATTGGGATAGGTTGACATGCTTGAACAAAGTCAGCAAGTCTTGACCAGGGGATCCTTTGTCGACTCCACATTTATGAAGATCCAGATTTTCATGGGTTTCAAGAAATGAATTGAATTGGGATTCCTGTTTAGAATAGGTCCTGTTCATCTCTTGGGGATCACAATATGTACTCAGTGTGTTGAAATATTGTGTTTATCATGTCCTCAGGAACATGTCTTGTACTTTTCTTTTCTGACTAAAGTTTGCACTTCAAAGCTGCATTTAGAAAGGATAACAACATATAGATGAAAGACTTCTGTTACAGTGGGAGGTTTCGTAGTTTATTGCTTGATAAGGATGTTAGAACCACAGGCCCTCGTGTCTGCGCGAGGATTAGAGATTTAGAAAAAAACAATAGAAATGTCGGGGGTCATCTCAAAAACATACAAGACAAATCTTATGGATAACAACTTCTTGGTTTATTTTTCATAACGTTTCCGGGCTAGTTCTTGCCTCTTCTTCAGGTGAATAATGGTGATGGTGAACAGTACAGTATATATATATGGATGTACAGGAAGCCAGATTTGAAATATAAGAGTATATACAAGTGAAAAAGGAGGTATAATTAAGTATGTACAAACAATGCAGTGAGATCAAAGAGCAGAATACAATTATAGGGTATGTTTTTTATAAGGGCAAGGGTGTGTGATGAAGAATTTCATCTAAAAAACAATATATAAATAATTTTAATATATATATATATAATATATATAATTTTAATCATCGCAAAGACATGAGCCCCTGTGGTTAGAATCTACACCAAAACGTGCTTGGTAATAGTGTTAGAACCTACACCAGCGTAGCTCACTGTAATAAAGGTGTTCACCCATGTTATCTTTATTCCAAATTCTAAATGCTTCTTAAGTTAAAACTGCATTTATATGGCTATAACTCCGTCTACTCAAAGAATGAATTCTGATGATTATTGACGCTGCACTGAAGCCGCCCATAGGGGGTTCGATGTCAGAACAGGTCACCTCTTACACAGGACAACATCAAGATGAAGACGGAATGGTCTTATGATGACCTGGATTAGCATGATTTGTCCATGCTTTCAACCACTTATTTACCAGGGGGAGAGTATCTACAGACTTCTGTGATAGATCTAGAACATGGTATTACTCTCTCCTTAGAGCGTCCGCCCGGAGAGCGGTCAGGTGAAATTGGGTTTAACGTCGTGCTTGAGAATATTTCGCTCATATGACGACGTGCATGCGTGTGTATGTGTATGTGTATGTGCGGCTGCTTGTACTAGCCCAGACTGAAGCTGATTTTATAGTGCTAGCCCACTGAGATACCATGCCGCAGTGAAGCATGAATACCCCACTCAGACACATTATGCTGACTCCGAGCCGACCAGTCCTTGTACCCATTAATGCCGAGCGCCAGGCAGGGACCAACAAGTACCATATTTTAACGTCTTTTTGGTATGACGCGGTCGGGGAACGAACCTGCGACCTTCCGCTCTCCAGGGCGGACGCTCTAACCACTACACCACGGTGGCGGTACCCGGAGAGCGGAAGGTAGCGGGTTCGATCCCCGACCGAGTCATACAAAAAGACGTTAAAATATGGTACTTGTTGGTCCCTGCCTGGCGCTCGGCATTAATGGGTACATCAAGGACTGATCGGCTCGGAGTCAGAATAATGTGTCTGAGTGGGGTATTCATGCTTCACTGCGGCATGAAGCGTTCGTTCATCACGCCGAAGACCCGGGTTCGATTCCCCACATGGGTACAATGTGTGAAGCCCATTTCTGGTGTCCCCCGCCGTGATATAGCTGGAATATTGCTAAAAAGCGGCGTAAAACCATACTCACTCACTCACTGCGGCATGGTATCTCAGTGGGCTAGCACTATAAAACCAGCTTCAAGCAGCCGCACATACATATGCACACGCATGCACGTCGTCATATGAGCGAGACGACGTTAAACCCAATTTCACCTCACACACACACACACCTCACCCCAAAAAAAGAAAAAAGGGGGCGGCTGAGTATTCTGATGGTTTACGCGTTCACTCGTCACGCCGAAGCCCATGTCTGGTGTCCCCAGCCGTGATATTGCTGGAATATTGCTAAAAGTGGCCTAAAACTAAACTTACTAAGCTTTCAAGTCAGCACCAGTTCCATTAGCTGTATGTTAGTGGTACACATTCATACGACTGGGACGGAACTTAGTTTGTACAGTTTGTTGTTACGCACTGCCTGATGAATGGATGATGACGCCCAGTGGTTGATCGATCACTGGATTGTCTGGTGTAGACTAGTGTTGGGAATTGGTTAAAATCTCATAATTGATGATTGGTTCATTACAACCGATCAATCATCGAAAATAATTGGTTTGCGTCAATTATCAAATGTTCCTGTTATCTTTGTTAATGCACACACAAAAAATAAAGAAAAAACATGTAGTAATTTGCAATTGGGTCTTTTGCAAATTGCACAAAATCCATTGGCAAATTTCGCATATTTAAAGGATGATTAGTACGTTAGGAACACAGATTTCCTGGATTCTTTAAGATAAATTCAATCATGACTTGGAACGAGCTTGTAGTGCTTATGAAATGTAAATTTAATGACCCAGACAAAACCAACCTTGTGTAAAATATTGTTGATGCAAACAAGTGTTCCAAAATTGGTTGTGTTCGATTATGAGAAAACACAATCGATTGCTTGGTTGCTTAGTCACTGCGACCAATCTTCGATTATTTCAATTAATCGGACCACCACTAGTGCAGACTCGATTACAGATCGCCGCCATATAGCTGGAATATTGCCGAGTGCGGCGTTCAACAACCAACCCAGTGGTTGACGTTTTTAATGCCGACAGATGTTTTACAACAAAAAATCGAACTCAATCCTCTTATTAAAGTCAGATTTCGTCCCACAATATTAGATGGTTTGTTTTGGGTTATACAAAATGATGACAAACGCATATATGCCAATATATATTTGGCCGACACACCATTTAATAGCCTCAAAATATATATGAAATATTGGAATTAAATGTGACCATGCACGTTTTTCACTAAACGAACTGCAAAAGCAAAGTAAACAAACAGCCTTACAAAACACAATGTTCATTTTGGAGATTTGACATAGCATGAAACAATGCTAATTACATCACCCAAACCATTCATTTTACAAATAGGAAAATGTTTTATGTGAAAATGCCATCAAGGATTGAATTTGAGACACCGTACTGAGACACAGAATACTATTTCTAAGTAGGGTGTTCATCTTAAAATGCGACATGGTATCATAGAGTGTGAACCCGACAGTGTGTGAAACACGACCAACACACACACACACACACGCGCACACAACGATATTGCACCATCCACTGAAAAATCAGACGGTGTTAACACTGTGGCCTTAGAGCATTAATGATATTGTACATGCAGATAGAGCGTTTAGCTGAAAATGTTGACATGTAACAATACACACCATCAAAACAATATTGACATGGTACAACAAAACTTATATTATATAAACTAACAATCCATGTGCCATTAGATATACACGGCAAAACAACAAACTGAATACTGAAATATTGCGTAAGATGTAAAACCCCTGAACAGTTTCAAAGATACACCTGTGTAAACTAAGCGCCCCCCAGAGTTACCTCCCTTGATATATGTCAGTCTGGTGTCATGGATTCCAGTACATTACGTGAGCGTCATAGGTGCCACAATCCCCACTATGATGCACACAAGTAGTGCTATGAAGCGCAACCACAACACAATGGCATTCTTCTTACTTTCCTTACTTCTCTTCCCTGATCCGATCTGATCTTTTTCTAAGACCCGTACACAGGTTCCGCCCGTGTCTGTTTCTCTGGCACTCTCTGCCCACATTGCCTCGATATCTGCAGTAACTAAGGTTACTTGTCCTCTGCTTCTTTGTGCTTGGTAGAAGTCCACCCTTGTGACCGCATGTCTCTGCTCCTGGCTCATGCCTAACCTCCCCGACAGTTCCGACGCATCTGTGGCGTACTCTAGAGCGCGCTGGACGTTCTGTTGACGGTAACGAAGGTCCGACATTGCTGTATAGTATGTCACTCGAAGAATCTCTGGGACGCCAAGTTCCGATTCTTCAACAAACCGCAAAACGTCCTTGGCTTTATCCACACTTGACGGAGTCAAGTTCATCCCAGAAAACTGCATATTCTCACCACATTGAAGGAGAAGCGAGGCATACTTAACGAAGGCAACAGACTGCCCAAAGAGTCCATCATTGCTGTTTTCACGTTTGAAGTGCTCTATTGCTTCTTCCAAACTGCGGAGCGCTTGTTGTCTAAGATTGTGACTTCGACGCGGACTAGCAGCTGCGAGCACAGACGTCAACAGTCTTGCATGATCCACATATATCCACCCTGCCGCTTTTCCGGAGCAGCTTAGAGGGTCCTGGTGAATCAGCTGCATGGCGTCTCGAAGACAACTCTCTAACTTACTCAGTTTATTAAGTTTGAAATATCTCCACGCCTTTTTAGACAGAATGTCTACAGAGAATCCGAGCGGGTTGCTGGTGTGTTGTAACAGCTTCGATGCTTCTTCGCACAACACTTTAGTTCGACTGAGGTCGTTCTGAAACAGGGCTTCACAGCACTGCAGGTAAAAGACCGTGAACCGCACGTCGGCAGGACATCGACAACACGACATAAGTTTTTGGGAATTGTCGCGAAATTGCGAGTAGTCTCCCTTGTTGAGGGGGTTACTCAGGATGTTGAATACTCGATGAACTCTCCTATCCAATGTTACTCCAGATTGCGACAAGGGACGCGCAATGATTCCCTTTGTTCTAGCTTGTTGTCTTTTGGTTAAACGGTTTTCTGCGTCCGAATCGGTGGAAGTATATGGGACGGGTACACTCACTAAGCATTCCCCTGAACGTGTTTGAATGGCAACACTCTCTTGGATTGATGTAATAACAGATTTGACGCAAATAGCAATCGATGACACCAAGAAACTATAATCCGACTTCAAACTGTCTACGAATGTTTCCAAGGCCTTGACCTTGTCATCCCTATTAACCAGCCTCTCCACCAGCTTACGACATCTATCTTTACGTGTGACCTTCACATTGACCAAATCCATGTCCTCCTCGCTGAGTGCATGTTCCTGATATAAGTAATCCATTACCTCCCGTGGTTCAAGGTGAGTGGACACGCTATTCACCAGGGCGTCAAGTGTTGGATCTGCCATTCTGTTGTACAAAGTAAAACATGCGTACATATGGAGTTTAAAAAAAGTTTTTAATGAACAAATATCCTCATACACAGGAAAATATTTTTTCAGAACACCACACATATATACACCCCTCAAGAGACCATGTACAACCAGAAATTATTGAGAATTTAAATATTGTAATATTTAAAAACATTTCACTCATTACTCACGTATTAAATGTGAATATTAGCAGAACAAAACTCCAGATTCAAAGACAGGTGAACAGTTAGTATTTTGTCACCATGGGCAGCAATGCAGGCTTCAATGCGGCGGGGCAAAGAAGTTAGAAAGTCGTGGTCCATGCTGTCCCAATATCGGACCACCTCTTCTTTCTTTTCAGCAATATTTGTCAGATTTTTCTTATTGACACTTTCCTTCATAAGTCCCCAAACATATTCTATTGGATTTAGGTCAGGTCTATAGCTGTGTCAATCTAATAATGTCATATTTTGGGTCCGAAACCAGGCCTGTGAATGCTTTGAACGATCTTTTGGGGCGTTGTCCTGCTGGAAAATCCAAAAATTTCCATAGAATGTCCCTCGAGAATATCTCTGTATCGCTCACTGTTCATATTCCCTTCAAATACACAGAGGGGCGTTGCCCCTAACACAGATATGCCACCCCACACGTTAAATTTCAGACTGTACTTTGGGCGCCGAAGGTTTTTCAGTTTGTTTGGTCCAGAATTTCAGTGTATTAGGAAACAGCCACACAGAACTTTCATCTGAGAAAATCACATTGTCCCAGTTAAAATTTCTATGCTGTAAGCACCAGTTCAACCTTCGCTCCTTTTGTTCAGGTTTCATGATCGGTGATGGAATTCCGCGACTTTTCTCCCAACCCATTGCATGCAGCTCAGTTCTAATTGTCTCCTTACAGACAGCCACAGTTCCTCTATCAATCATATCCAGCCTAAGGTTTTCTAAACTCCGACAGTCAATTTTCTGGGCCTACTTGCGCCTCCCTGGTGCTCAATGCCATATCCATTTGCAATATTTTTCAAAACACGATAAACAGTGGACAAAGGGATGCCTGTTCTACTTGAAATCACTTAAGCTGATCTGATGTCCTTGTTATAATACTCTAAAATCAACTTCCTCTTCTCTAAATCATCCATACTGAGGATCACTGAAAATGGCGTCTGCTAGCAAGTAAACAAAGGGGGATGACTCTTCACAAACTAATGAAAAAGGATTAACGGTGTTGTCGCTCTTGAATGAAACCAAGCACTTGATAGCTGGTCAAGGTTGTTTATACTAGAAATCCAATTAAACATATTCCTAAAATTCGCAATAATTTCTGGTCATACTTTATACATGCTTCTTCGCTTGTGCCTCTTATGTAAGTCTTGTGTACAGTGGGTAGCACAGTGGTTGAAGGAGTCTCAAATCCTTGTGTAGAGTTGCCTCCCTTAGCGTCTATCAACAGTTAATGGTTGTGTCATTGTGCATTCAAATCCTAGATATATCCCTATGGTGATCATAGTCGGTTTACATGACGCATGTACGTATGAGTTTCACAAAGTGACGAATAACTTTGTTCTAGTTTCTTCAGGCTTATGGGTAAGTAAACAAAGATGTACACGTTCTTACCAAACAAACCTGGTCTCGTTAATTCGTCTAGTATATTATATGTACATCCCTTTGAGTTTGATTTTATTCCTACCCAGGACGATTCATTATCCCTGACGCGCATATATGATAAACTGGAGACAAGTGCTTGAAATGTACACTTACAATTTCTAGTATATTTGGTAAGCTCTATATTTCTATCATTAATACACGTTTAGTGTACTGGTCGGAATCTCCAGATAAAATTACAGAGGAACAAACTGGGTTTAGATATGTTTATTCGACTATTGATAATGTCTGTGTTAAAGAGTATAAATATAGACCGATATCTTTAATAAAAGGAGGAAAGTTATATGATGTTCTTTTTTCTAAAGTCTTTGACTCAGTATGCGCAAACAAAATGTGGCTTTTATTTCGCTTACATTTTATTACCAACAAAAAGGAAACGCTGTTGTGCAGCATGTATCAAGAGGTAAAATCATGTGTTATGATAAAAGGTAACTATTCTGATTTACTTACTACGCATACTGGTGTTCGCCAAGGTTGTGTTTCAAGTCCCTTTTATTCTGATTCTTCATTAATGAATTACCTGAACAGATTCCACGCATGTGTGATTGTGGTTATCAACCACACTATGGAGCGATTAAGATACGTATGTTGCTGTTTGCATACGATGTTGTTATGTATTCGGGTATCATAAAAGTGTTGCAAGAACTGGTTTATCAGTTGGAATTATATTGTGATTTAATATAAAACTTACAGTATTGTTGGATATAAGCAAGGTGGTATTTAGCAAGGAAGTTGGCTGTGATCCCCCCCAATAAAAAAAACCCCAATAAAAACAACAACAACAACAACAAACAAAAAGCACACACACACACAACAAACCCCAAACAACAAGTAAACAAAAAAACCCCCAAAAAACAACACACAACAAAATACAAAATGAAACTCAACAAAAAACAACAAAAACAACCCCAGGAAATGGATTTTTGAAGGGAAGATACACGATACTGTCAGGGCTTACAAATATCTTGGTCTTACAATTACAAAGAAATTGTCATGGAATGAACCAAGTAGTAACTCAGCAAAGCAAGCTAAAACATTATTTCCTGAGAAATTAACACATTTGAATAAACATAAACATTTTTTCAAAATACTTTACACTAACATTTGTCCTGTTCTATTACCTGGTTCACAGATTTGAGGTATTTTTGAATCGAAAGCTGTTGAACTTGAATATTTATTTGCTTGCAAACAATTTCTTGGTGTCAAACAATGTACTTTGAATGTTATAGTTTATGGAGAATGTGGGAGGGTCCAAATATATGTTAATATTTACCAAAATAGTAAAAATGCCATGTAATATGTTGTCCAGAAAATGTTACAATACCATGTTACAATATATGAAAGCCATGGAGAGAAATATTGGTTCATAATGTCAATATGCTATCAAATGTATGTGGGTATGGATATGTGTGGGATAACATGTGTGTACCTGATAATCCAGATAAATGTTTACTGTCGATAATCCAGATAAATGTTTATTGTGAATAACACAAACTCTAAAAGATATGGCCATATGCACGTCAACTGTTGTGAGATACTCTTTGATATGATGCATGGCACATTGTCCATGATGCCCGTTACAAAAACATGCTCATCTAACAGCCTTTTCTTAATTTTTCATATTAAGCCATAATCAAACACGCGTGTCCCCGATACGTAACTTACAACGTGTAATTGATACTTCAACATCAACACACCAATATATTACAGCTATTCAAGCTAAGAGAGTCGTTTTATCGGCATTCTAATTGTTTTATCCGCATTCTAGAGAACTTTGAGACGTGGATTGGGCATATATCGCATATCAATGACATAACATCCCCAAGTCCCTGAATTTCTGTCGTGCTGAATTCTTACATCAGCCATTCATCGTCAACAATACCCCATATTTCATCCATGCTGACGCAACCCTATCGAGGGCCCGAGAGGCGACCGAGGAGTACATTCAGTGGTCAAGATGTCAAACAACGTAGATATATGGAGACATATCAAACTTACCTCGAGATACCCTGATTGACCAGCTCTTACAAGTCCAGTGTATCAACACTGACCCACGAATTTGGCTTTCTTCGGAACCTGAGCTATTTTTAGTACGCGTAATTCCCCATGACTGAATGTCATGTGACTCTCTTTGAAAGGACGCAATCAATGTTGTGCGTACGTAGTGAACCGCCGACAGAGTGTTTATATGGACCAACCAATTTACAGGTTTGCTGACACTTTTCTTTCCCTGTTGAAAACCGAAGTTCACAGGACTTCAAAACCTTTAGATCTATTCCGAATACTCAACTTTTCAAAACCAGTTACTGACGTGCAAACACAGATGTCAAAGTTCTTTCAAAACTGAACACTTACCTTGTGTCTTAAATTACATTACATACATGTATTTTCACATTTGCCTTTTGTCATACCCAGGACAATTAAATACGAAATTGACTTTTGCCTGAACATGAAAATTTGCTACATTAATAAATGTACTTCCCCGTGATTGAATGTCAACTGACTCATCTTTGAAACGGCCGGGTGGTTTATCATGGACCGACAGTTTACAGATTTGTCAACAGTTTTCTGGAGACCTTAATATCTAAACTGTAAGTCTGCCAGTCCGGTGTCTGATATAGGATATGGCATTCATTGTACAGTATATCGCATGGATTGTACAGTATATCACATGCAGCATATGGCATACCACATGCATTGTACAGTATATCACATGCAGCATACGGTAGGTATGTCACATACAGTATGCAGTATATCAAGTGCAATATACAGTATATCACATGCAGTATACGGCATACCACATGCATTGTACAATATATCACATGCAGCATACGATAGGTATGTCACATACAGTATGCAGTATATCAAGTGCAATATACAGTATATCGCATGGATTGTACAGCATATCACATGCAGTATACGGCATACCACATGCATTGTACAGTATATCACATGCAGCATACGGTAGGTATGTCACATACAGTATGCAGTATATCAAGTGCAATATACAGTATATCACATGCAGAATATATACAGTATGTCACATACAGTATGCAGTATATCAAGTGCAATATACAGTATATCACATGCAGTATACAATATATGTCACATACAGTATGCAGTATATCAAGTGCAATATACAGTATATCACATGCAGTATACAATATATCACATACAGTATGCAGTATATCAAGTGCAATATACAGTATATCACATGCAGTATACAATATATCACATACAGTATGCAGTATATCAAGTGCAATATACAGTATATCACATGCAGTATACAATATATACAGTATGCAGTATACAGTGCAATACAGTATATCATATGCAGTATAGTATATCACATACAGTCACATACAGTATGCAGTATATACAGTATGCAATATACAGTATATCACATGCAGTATACAGTATATGCAATATACAGTATATCACATGCAGTATACAATATATCACATACAGTATGCAGTATATCAAGTGCAATATACAGTATATCACATGCAGTATACAATATGTCACATACAGTATGCAGTATATCAAGTGCAATATACAGTATATCACATGCAGTATACAGCATACCACATGCATTGTGCAGTTATATCACATGCAGCATACAGAACATCGCATAAATAGCATGCAGTATATTTCACATGCATTGTACAATATATCGCATGCATTGTACGATATATCACATGTGTTGTACAGCATATCAAACGCATACAGTATGTATCACACGCAATATGCAGTATACCAAATGCAATGTATATTGTACATATATGAAGTGCATTGTACAGTAAATCGCATGCAGCATACAATATATCACTTGCAGTATGCAATATATTAGTGCACTGTGCCGTATATCACAAACAGTATGCAGTGCATCGCATCCACTGCACAGTGTATCACAAGCATTATACCGTATATCGCATGCATTGCACAGTATATTATATGCAGTAGATATTATACGATATGCATTGGACAGTAGATATCACATGCACTGTATAGTGTATCGTATGCATTGGACAATATGTCACATGCAGTATATATACATGTATCTTCATGTGGCAGCTGAAGTCAAGGGACTCACTAGGCTAGACCGAATTTTGTGTGCATGTACTTCTTTCTATACACCAGGGTGCTGTTGTACAAAACAACCTTAGCGCTAAGACTACCTTAAGTCTATATTAAGGTATGGGAGTTACGGTCACCTTAGCGCTAAGACTACCTTAAGTCTATGTTAAGGTATGGGAGTTACGGTCACCTTAGCGCTAAGACTACCTTAAGTCTATGTTAAGGTATGGGAGTTACGGTCACCTTAGGACTAAGACTACCTTAAATCTATGTTAAGGTATGGGAGTTACGGTCACCTTAGCGCTAAGACTACCTTAAGTCTATATTAAGGTATGGGAGTTACGGTCACCTTAGCGCTAAGACTACCTTAAGTCTATATTAAGGTATGGGAGTTACGGTCACCTTAGCGCTAAGATCGCTTTGTACAACGGCACCCTGGCCAAAATCTCTTGTTTGTCAAATGTGATCTGCAACGAAACAGCATTGTTTTGTTAACAACATATTACAGCTATTCAAGCTAAGAGAGTCGTTTTATCGGCATTCTAGAGAACTTTGAGACGTGGATTGGGCATATATCACATATCAATGACATAACATCCCCAAGTCCCTGAATTTCTGTCGTGCTGAATACTTACATCAGCCATTCATCGTCAACAATACTCCATCTCACTGTATTCGCTAATACCACCTCTATTCAAATATTTTGGAAACTATCTTTGGAAAGTCGAATTGAACTAGAAATGTGGGAAAAGGTCCAAAGGTTAAATTTGCCTTGTGTATCTAGTGCGTTCCAGTATTGATATTCTCCTGTTTGTTTGGAGGAGCGAAATCTCAGTTGTGTACCAAATATAGGTGTCATCAGTATCACATCTGCGCATGGTAGGCGAGTGCATGTTGTTTTACACAGTTGTCATGACGGCCTGTGAATAATGGAGTCTGTACCAAGGAAACCAGTCTCGCTGTCTAGGGACGCTGCCACACCGTCACTAACGTCGCACACGTACGCACGTACGCACGCACGCACGCACGCACGCTGTGACGGCCAGATAAACTCAGATGTAGATCCACAAAATCATCTCTTCCAACAAGCTTGGTGAGCAAAGGAACTGTTTTGCCCCAGCGACCAACATCGTGACCCATGGACAAGGATCTTGTACATTGAAGTATCTTCACGCCTGACATTCCTTAATCCTCAACAGGGAGACGGCAGATTCAATACAACGCCTGATGTCTGACCGCCTTACAGAACAGCGATTACAGACAACCCGCTCACTTACATCTGTCGTCTGCATATGAACCAATTGAACACATTTCTTCCATATACTTATCGGTCGTCTGCTTCTGACAGCCATACTATCATGGCGACTTTGGAGGCGTGGGGGGAGGTGGGACAGAAGTATAAGATCCACGAGGAGACCTTAGCGTTTTTTCGCCAACAAAAAGAAAGGGGTGCCAGACCCTATCAAGAGCTTACAGTGGAAGAAGCTCGGGAAGCCAACAGGCAGACGTCACTTTTCTACGCCGGCGACACTGAATTCAATGGCAGCATCAAAGAATTCATAGTTCCGTCAATTCACTGTCCGGGTAAGCCTGTATATACACCTAGAGCCGACATGTAGGGCGGGCCCTCTTATCTTATCCTGTAAAATATGTTGTATATATCCGTCCAGTCAATGAGAGTAATTGTATATTGTGTATTCCATGTTCTATATTAAAAGCATGTCCACTGCATACGTACAAGTAATGCATACATTTTTATCTCAAAGATGGCTAAACTTCTTCGTGTTTGCGGAGGCAAGCCCAAGATAATCAAAACAATAATTGAATGTAAAAGTATTTTCGTAAAGTGTAATCTTTAATGAATGTTGACTTTTAGCCACTGACAACGGTATTTAATGTACAGCATTGAATAATAAAAGGTTATCCATGTCGACTGTTTGCTAGATAGACCAGGTCAGTTCTACTTGCCCAGCTAACGGTCATGATAGGTCAAGGATATACATACATATAAGTAGGACACTGTTTATACCCGGCTAGTAACCTAGATCTTTACCACGTTATCAGTCTAACACAACCCACTGACTACACACACAGGGGGTTCGTATCATGATAATTGGCACAATCAGGCTGCAAATGGCAGCTTACGAAATTGATGAACCCTAATTATATCTGTATGTATTTCTGCTCTTAGCACTTGCATAACTGTTTGATGAGCGGCGTTGTCTCCCGTATTAAACATTCTGGCGATACTGATTGTGAGACAAATACAACGGGAACACCGTTAGGAGCATGTCATGACACCCAATGTTGGTTATACTGCAGTGTAGAGTTGGCCCCCAGTATTTGTTCTTTAGTTGTCTTACGCTGCAATATTCCAGTTATATAATGGCGGTCTGTAAATAATCGAGTGGAACAGACAATCCATGAGATCCTGAGATTCCATTCTACGCAATCGTATACGATGACAAATATCAACCAAGTCAGCGAGCCTGACCACCCGATCCCTCTTCCAACAAGCATGGCCCATGGGTTGCTGAAGACCAGGGCCCCGTTCCTCAAGGCGATCGTAGCGCTAAGGTGATCGTAACTCCCATACTTTAACATAGACTTACGACTGTCGTAGTGCTACGATCGCCTTGAGGAACGGGGCCCAGTTCTAATCCGGGTGTTCACGGGTTGGTTTCCATTTACCTATGCTTCTCCCTAGAGGCGACTGAAACGGATGGTGTGGTCAAATTCTAAATTCACAGATAGCTAGTCTCCGTTAACGGATGACGAGGTGTTGTGGACCAGGCGCGATAATTTACAGACTGTCGTGAAATAACAGGAATGTGCAGACTGTGGCTTTAAACTTTCATTACCTCACATTCTATGTACACTTGACGTATCAACAAATTCTCACTAGGTTTCATCGTATGATCTGTCACGTTAAAGGCGGCCGTGACAAGAATACAGATAGGTTGTTGATCTATGTATGGAGGTATGTTGTATATAGTCACAACGGATTAGTGATGATATGTGTGTTAGTAGCCACGTTCCTAATAAACACATCTCAACGTGTGTTTATTTTGACTACGTCAAAGGTGAAGGCCGCACGCAAACTGGAGTTCGCTCGTCAGTTCGAAATGGGAAAATATGTTTCAGAAACCCTTTAAGTTGGAGAACTTCCACAAACTGACGTAACTCGTCACAATCTAATACTGGTGTTTTAAGTACATTTTTAACAGAGTTGTAACCTTTGCCCCATATGTAACAGCAATATTCCAGCAATGTTACGGCGGGGTCACCAGAAACGGACTTCACACAATGTTCGGAAATCGAACCCCTATCTTCGGCGTGATGAGAAACCACCAGGCTATACCCACCCGTCCTTTCGGATAGGTAAAATAACCTGGGAACAAGAGTTTTTCGAAGTACAATTCATGACTTAAGCTTGGAGCACCATAAAGGTTTAAGAAAATAACAACGCCCTTAACATCTTTCAATTAATTGTTGTGACCAACATGTCTTTTAATGACTAAGGCGCCCGAAGGTCCGACTTCTAAATGAGTATAATCTGTTAATACGATTTCTGGTGTCCCCGCAATGACATTGCTGGAATATTGCTGAAAGCAGCTTAAAACCATACTCATGCACCTTGGAGCCGAATGTAACCACGTGGTTGTGATTGTGAGCAGAGGGCGTGGCTGTCAGCGTGTACAAAGACTCCATCTGCCCCCTCACTGCCCCGGTTCTCGTCTACTTCCACGGGGGCGGCATGGTGGTGGGCTCCAGACAGGCCTATGACGTCACCTGTAAACTAATAGCCAGGTAGGACGAACATACCAATACGATTTTCACTTTTTTCTCGATTTTGCTGTTTATTTTGCAAGGTTAGTTGTAATGAAAGGATAAATGTTTCACTAAAGACAGTGTTCTATTACGTCACAGTGGTTGAAACAAATATGGATGATATCGATAGAAGTCACTTCGGCGAAAATATACCTCTATCACCTATACATTTTTTGTCGTTTCTTGAGTTATTTTATTCACCAATTAATAGGCCCGTAAATAGGTCACGGCACTTTGCAAAACCTAAGTACTTCCGGTGACAAACAACGTTTCATACCTTTTCGAATGGTCTCATGGTTGTCAGTTGACAGTAAGAAACCGATATAACTTTCTGGAATAACAAATTTCTGATCTGACCACCCCTTAAATTAGCCGACTATTACGACTGTCAACAGCTGTGACAGCCAAGCATGGTTGTACACTTGGTCCGGTCTAGTAAAGTCATATTTGGCGGTCGCGCAATTTTGGAACCACAACTTGAATATACGCTTGTCACCGGAAATCTGGTACCGGAAGTACGCTGGGCCCAATCTCGCATATTACAATTTGGCGCACGCAAAGGGAGCCGGGAACCAGCTTAGTACCGTAAGTAGCGCCTCGCGAGACTTACAGTCCCTATATATCCATGTAACAAAGCTGTGAAATAAGAAAGAACGTTTTATCGCGTCCTTTATTTCGTAAGTTCATATAATTTCAAAATTACTCTTAGGAAAATACAATTATCACACTACACGGGGTTCAACATACTATTTTTCACCCTTCATGTCTTTACTCACTTGTCATCAAGTATTGTAAGCTTTGGTTGCTTTCTTTTGGCATTCGCCATAAGGTTTACTTCCTTTTGTCTCCGTTCTGGGGTATTTTGTAACCCACGAATGAACCTTAAACACATTATACTGTTTAAAACGCTGTTACAGTTGATTTCTAAGCTGCGTGTGTCTAGGTGATGCCCCCAGTGTGTTACATGTTACATAAGCTCACAGCAGCGATACTGCTATTGCTACTGCTACTTCTGCTGCTACGACTACAATTGCTGCTACTGCTACTGCTGCTACTACTACTACTACCACCACTACTGCTGCTACTACCGGTATTTAACCATGAATGTCCTGACCTCATACGTATGTTGTCTTCGACCCCTATGTTGCGACCTGTGATTGGCACCTGCTGCTGTATTTCAGAGACACACCCTGTATAGTTGTGAACACAGAGTACCGCCTGGCCCCGGAACACAGGTTCCCTGAACAGTTTCAGGACGTGGAGTGCGTCACCAGATGGGTCTGCATGAACAAGGCGCTCATAGGTACAAGTGTCTTCGTCAGTTACATAACACATCGATATGAACCATTTTGACCAGGTGACCAATTCCTTGTGGAATTAACCATTATTTGGACCTAGCTTCTGAAGCAGGGCAAAAGACCATAGCATGACTGGTGTTTTTGTCACTATTCAGCATTGGAACCCTTGATCTGCGTGTTTTCTATCAGTAGAGACCTGTAGTTTAAAGGTCTTCTTCATCTTTTAATGTTTGTGTTCTCGTCTTTAATAAGGTCTTCCTCACGTAGTGCACCAGAGAACCCGCAGACTTGTCCACATCCCTCTAACCAGTGTTTACCTGCAACTACACACTGACATTCACACCTAGGGTAAAAGAGTCCTATATGGATTCTATCCAGAGTTTCTATATGCCCTGAGTGATTACCTTGTTTAACACAGGACTCTGAAACATGCCTTCCACGACGTCTGTCCATAAATAATCGATTCTGGGCTACGCAAATCAGTGATTGGTAGACCTATATTTCAAACTGATGCCTTTTAGGGATATTCTGTTGTAGAACTTCATCAAGTCTTTGCCCAAGATATGCAAGTAAAGACAGTACAACAAGACCAGAATTCCTCGTCCAAGTTTCGAAGATAAAACTTTTTCAACGATCTTTTTTCTTTATCTGACAGAAACAAGAGCGTATTAGTTAGCTAAATACGTGTTTTGTAACTTTCCTTGCAATTTACAAAGTGTTTCGTAATCCTGAGACATTCCCAGCAGAGCTACAGATAACGTTTGGGGTCATTTAGTTATGTACTCACTTGTGTTCCTCTCAGTTGGGTATCCTAGTATTCCTTTGAGTAACCAAATAAATTGTGCTCACCTCGATCAAACTCAATTGGGTATTTTGTCATTTTCCATTTATTGTAAAAATATAATAAAGTTTAAATGTGAGTGTTTGTTATTTATATTTGATCTGTAATATGAGAAACGATAAGAAAGACTGCAAGTTGCCAAGTTCATGTCCTGAATCAGAACCTCTCAAAATACCTTTTTTGTGTGTACCCATGTAAGATCACATCCATTGGTTGTTGGCGATCTATAGCCAGTTTTTATATTGCATTGTCCAAATAGTGCTATTAGTTTTAACTTTCCACACTAGTTTTAGTTGTAATTGTGATATTCTAGTTGTTTTACTGTCCTTTGAGGACAGTTTTTTCTAATATACACATATTACATTTCAATGACAAATATGTACTCGTCACGATATGGCTGAAATATTGCCGATGTGACGTTAAATGTTAACTCACTCACATCCATTGAGTTTTAAAAAAAATTCAAGCGTACTTGTACGCAATAGCCGTAAAAGGAATTGAGTTTTCACATAAATCTTTGCGTAATTTACGCAGATACGCAGCTTATCTGTACCTCTGAATCCCCATTTCCAGTGTCCTTTAACGGTCCTTTCCCTGCATGTTGACGTCAAAAGGTCAATACAGTGATACCCAAACTTCCTGTGTGGTGTCACAGTGGGGCTCAGGTGAAACACTGCACAATTTAATTAGCTTAATGTATCCATATTTTTACAGGTGTTATATGGCTTTTTTCTAAAAATTCTGTTTCCATATAGATACATATAATTTCTTCTGTTGAAACTCCAGGGGCAAGTAGTTCTAGTCGAGTTGGTGTGGGCGGAGATAGTGCCGGCGGAAACCTGGCGGCGTCCGTCTGTCACCACGTCAACGTCGACTTCCAGGTACGTGATGTGTGTATCCAGGGGCAGGTAACTCTAGACGAGTTTTTGTTGAATGATGGAATCGGGTTTAACGCAGCCCTGATCACTGTTCTATTTGGTACTCGCGTAGTGCTGGGGGGTAACCTAGCGGCGTCCGCCAACGTCGACGTCTAGGTGAGAAGTTCGCGTAATCGGGGCAAGTAACTCTAGTCGAGATATTAGAGACACGAGACCGAAACTGAGCGAAGGACATTGCCATCCGTCTATCACTCCCATTTTAGAAAATTCAAGGGCAAGTAATTCTATTTCAGTGGAGGGACGAGATGTCGACTTTCAGGTCGGAAACTAGCGTAATCGGGGCACAAGTATCATTCACTGTGATACTCTAGAGTGGAGCCGAGAGAGTGAACCTACTGCGCTTCAAGCATTTGTATACGTGGTTGGCATGTGATTACATGTAGGGATATTACATGGGAAGGTTACAATTACAATATATGAACATTTTAGTATAGTCAGCCCGTAGTCATGCTCTATGAGGCGATGTAGGAGTTGCTGCAGTAGCCAAACACTTGCAAAAAGAAACTCAACACATTTGTAAGCTGTGTAATCCAACCATGGAGGTGTTGTCTTGGTATACACAAAACCAGTGTTACATACTGTTGGAACTAGATGGTCTTGTTTCAGGTGCTAGTGTACCCTATGACAGACCACACGTGCTCACAGCCATCTTTCAGCGAGTTTGCCACCACACCAGGACTCAACCAAGGAATGATTCAGTGGTAAATAAATCAACTAAACCCTTTCCACATCCATAAGAAGTCAGGATCTGGTAAATAGTGAGAATGTTGTGCTACGTTGTATCCCGTGACATGTCTCCTGCATCACGGAGCAATCATGGCGGTAGGGTAGCTAGTGGTGAAAGCGTTCGCTCGTCACGCCGAAGACCTGGGTTCGATTCCCCACATGAATACAATGTGTTGATCCCATTTCTGGTGTCCCCCGCCGTGATATTGCTGGGATATTGCTAAAAGTGGTGTAAAACTAAACTCACTCACTAAATCTTGGCCTGCAGTATACTCGTGCCTGGATATCTGGGGCCTTCAGCGTGAGCACACAACTGGACAAGCCACACTGTTCAGTTCCAAGTATTGGTAATCATTGTGGATCCACATATGCATCAAACCGTATTTGTTGAATCAACAACAGAAGTTCTATTTAGTACATGATGATGTCATCATCCTTTCCCTGACAGCGTTGTCTTCCTCTGATGTTTTGCAAAGAACTGTCGACGCCTTCTGTCTGAAGTTAGTTAGTCAGTCTCTATGAAACTTGCAAATTACTGACGTCCGCCTCTCTAGGATGTGTGCATGTCCTCGACGTCTGCATCTTATGTTTGTAAATCGCTGTCGTCTGCTTCTCTCCGATGTTGCAAGTTACTGTCGTCTGCTTCTCTCTGATTGTTGCAAGTCTCTGACGTCTTCATCTCCTATGCATGTCAGACGTCTCTTGTTGTCTATTGTAGGTTCCAGGACCTTCACTTCTCTTCCCCTGAACAAGTGACAGATCCCCGCTACTCCCCCTTTACTACACAAGGACTTCAGTCACCTGCCACCGGCAATATTTGTGATTGCAGAACTGGACCCTCTAAGAGACTGCGGATACGGTAGGGCACTTATGTACAGTAATCAGGAATGATCCAACAATGAATCTTAGGAGAATTTAGACCCTTAACTCTAGTGTATGATTACCGATATCTATCTTGAGATGTACCTCTTTCCGTCGAGCTTCCTCATAGAGTATTAAGCAGCCGCGGACTGAAGCTGTACGCCTCTATTACCTAATATGGAGTTGTTCCTGATAGCTACTGTACTTAGTCTAACACATCTGTGTATGGATATGGGCATGAATGGCTTTCGATGTTACCTAGACTCTACTGTCTAATCGCTTTTGTCATAATCATAAAATTCCCTTAATAATATCGGTAACAGGCATGAACTGGATATAAAGTTCACTTTAACGTAAAATACATGATCGACAAGATGGATTTTACAACCAATGTCACCTACACTATCAAAGAGTCCTACATAGTACAGACATTGGTTGTGAACATATACATTTGAGATGATTTTTGCATTACAAGCCCTGTAAGTTTAAATATATATTTCAACGATGTGCATGTTTTTCAAAGCCTATCGGGAGAAATTATCGTCTGCTGGCGTCACAACTGACTGCATTACTCTCCAGGGGGCGCCCCATGCTTTTTTCCACATGCCAGGTAAGGAGTTAAACAGTTAATAACTTGTACAGGTGGACAACATCACTTCACCAGTTAAAGCCAATAGGAACACCTGCTAGACTCCATTTTGGCCTCCTACGCATTGTAATTATAATCAGTTGGCATTGCTGATAACGTTCATCCTTCATCTGCTGTGACACCAAATTTGCAAACATTTTTGTATTGCCTAGGAACAGGTAATTGCCACAGGGTCGTCCAGGGATGGTTTGGATTCGTGTTTTGTATATCTCTGATAAACATGGAATACCATTCATTGTAATCGCTGCATGAAGGTAAATTCTTAATGAAGAGAGGCGTGTAAATGCTCCATTAATCTGCCCTAGTCATGCATTATGAATTGGCATTGTGGTTACTGAAGACAGGTCAATATCTTCCGTGTCTCTGTTCTATAGTGTGGGTAAGGTGAAGGTATTCCGTATTTATACTAGATACTAAGTGAGTGAGAATAGTTTTAGGCCGCTTTTAGCAATATTCCGGTAATATCACGGCGTGGGACACCAGAATTGGGATTCACACATTGTAGTCATGTGGGAAATCGAACCCCGGTCTTCGGAGTGACGAACGAACGCTTTAACCACTAGGCTACCCCACCGCCCTATGCAAGATAGAAAGGCAAAGACCTATTTTCGGTCGCATTTCTGTCTGCCCTGCGTTGATGTTACGGTTAAGACGACCCTATATTCCTAATATGGGACGTCCTGAATCATTAATAATCAGATCGAAGATTTATTTACATTTTTTAACCGATTCGAATCTTCACATTGGGAACTTTAATGATGTTGCCATCATCACGTATTTTTCCGTTTTTAGGAAACTTTAAGGAGATCTGCAGTTTGTCCTACGAAGCTGTTACAAGGTTTATCCGCAAATTTAGTCACTGAAAAAAAAAAGGATCAGAAAGACGAAGCTCGACACTAAACAGAACTTGTATGTTATTGCTCACAAGAACTTACCTCGGATTTTGCTTTTATGTTACTTACAATTTTACATTACCAAACAGGTACCATATAAGGAAACATGCGCACTGTGGTAGCCTGATCAATACTCAGACGTACAGCCAATGTTTTGCAAAATTACAGTGTTACTCCGGCGGATCCGTACAGCGGTAAAGTGGTATTTTTAAAAGATCTGTGAGCAGTAGTGTAAGTGGACACTGATTGTACCTTCCAACAGAATTCATCTGTAACTACATGATGTAGGAGTAAACAAATAAAGTTATTATCAAGCAACTACTTATAGTTACGTTATTTATGGACATGATCCCCAGCAAGGAATCGATCAAAATGGATCAGGTGATCCGATTCACTGATTTGATTGGTTGTGTGTCATTCATCCCCGACGGCCTGGGACGTTTCGTGTAATATCAATGATGGGTTTCTCTGGTCTAGGTTCCTGATCCACAAACCGTTCGTAGCGCCACGACACTATAGAGTTACGACAGGTCGTAACTTTACGAACGCTTTGTGGATCCGGACCCAGGGTGACGTATTCGCAAGCAGTCGTCATATAGGTGCACTACTGCCGAATCACGCGACAAAGAAACAAGCATGAACAAAGTTTTCCCTGACAAACAAAAGATATTGACGTGCATGCGTGGGTTGGGACCAACACTGTTCAGACGTCATGGCGTTTAGCCTACTTAGTCTAGTGGTTTCAGCGGCTGTCCAGAGAATGAAAGTTCGGGGTTTCGATGGTCCGGCCGCGTCATACCGAAGAACATTGAAAGATGGTACTTGTTGATATCCTGACATCCAAGCACGCACGCACGCACACAGACACACATGGCCGTTGATGGATTCCATTATCTGGGCATATCAATCAATAACGACTTATGACGGTTGAAGACATGGTTATACATTCAGCTGAAGCCAGGGTCCCTCGTATGTACAATACGACTGGTGTCTCAATTTTAAGTTTGTTGGACTGACAAAAGGGAATGGTCACTTACCATGCTATGAAATATAGGCCCTGATGTGATAGAAAGGATATCTTCACCCTTGCACACTCATTTAAAAAACCAAGATCAGCTTGATCTTTTTTCTTCTTTGAGAGGCATTTTAGAAGTTGTGAAGATGAAGGAAAACCAAGTTCTATGGATAGTCAACATCTTTATTGCAATGAGTGTGACGTTTCGGTGTAGGTACTAACACCGTTATCAAGCTAGTGATACAAAGAGTTGTAACACTATGATGAGAATATATACATAGCTGCATAGTGTTTATAAACAATTGACACCTTGGCACTCATTGTAATAAAAAAGTTGACTATCCATAGAACTTGGTTTTCCTTGATCTTTCTTCATCGGCATTTATATAAAAATTAAATAAAACGCAAATATTATGGATGACAACTTCTTCTTTACTGTATGTCACAACGTTTCTGGGCTATTCCTTGCCCCATCGTCAGGTGAATTGAGAAATATAAAAATTGTTTCATAAGCAAAGCGAGGCGATCTATGTCATAAATACATTTGAAGACATTTACCACGTGTCTAAAATGTTTAATAACGTAAAATGAGTTCCAATACTTGTGAAAAACAGTTTTTTAAACTTTAAAATTTTTTCTAACGCCCGCGCTCTGATTGGTTGTGGTTGGAAATCTGAGAGACCGTAAAGTACGGATGGCCCTAATAACTGACCATTCCCTAAACGAACCTTTAGAGAATACCTGCTATTGTTAGGTAGCGAGGTTACGGTGGCCTCAAACCAGATTTGTAACAGCCCTTGATCTCGAGGATAATCCCACAGGGGTATACCAGGTAATATCATCTCTTCCAGAACACTGCACAAACATGGACTTTTACAGCAAGCTCTTTCATACACGTAAGACAACGTCATACTCGTTATAACAATTACCCTTCTGTGTGGAGGGGTAACAGGGATATGGTGATGTATATACTCCGGGTGAAGTTAGGTACCCATCAGTATTAATTCTAGTAATTGCTTTAAACATTGTTTTACGTGAATGTAGACGCGAAAGACATTTTTTTCTACGATAATAGCAGTAGGTTCTACCTGAATCTTTAATCTGTCTGGTAAAGCCTTAATATTTTCATGGAACAAATAACGTATGACGAGGTTTTTCATTGTAAGGCTTAACTCTCTCAACATCTTAGCCGACGATTTGCTGACTCTGCATAACTCTCTTCAACGCAGGATTTATGATTAATCCTCATTGCAAAATTTTATTGGTTTATAATTGCCAAATATAATAAATTATGCATGTATAGCGTCACAATGGGTACGTGGTGTATAGTTACAGGCTTGATACCGGGACAATACATGCAGAAGTCATGATATATTCATATGTACTTACAAGACCTTATCACGCATCGAGTGATAACCAACCAGCCAGTCGGCGTCAACTGTTGCTGCTCTTTGTATGTAGTGAAAATATATCTATATACGCTTCGAAGCGTGCACAGCGATAAAACTGTCGAGAGAGTCCCGCGTTGGAGACACGGCAAGGTCACACGAAGTTGATCGAGGCTGAATATTCACTCCGGAATAGATCATTCCTGTCAAACCCCACTATAAGGCGTGGAACAGGACTGAGATGTCTACAGTCGAGGCGTGGGGGGCTGCCGGTCAGAAGTATGAGATCCATGAGGAAACTTTGGAGTATTTCCGAATCCTGGAGGGTCGGAAGGACCGGCCCCTAATCGAGCTGACACCTCCCGAGGCTAGGGAGGCGGGGCTGACAATAGCGAAGTTGTTTGGGGGCGATGTTGAGTTTGATGGTCAGATCAAAGAATTTAACGTCCCGTCACCTGCGGATCAAGGTAGGTCAACCACGTGACAGGTCCTCGACTGGGAGCCCTGATTACAACTCTTGCAGTGAGAAAATACACGCCTCTTTTTATAAATAGACGCTTGAAATGTAATATGTAATTAAATGGATGTTCTCAGATTTATGCTCAAATATGTTATATGTTTTTCCTCTTGCACTGTTCGATGTTTGTATGTATATTGTCTTTAAACAGCATTTGGAGGTGATGGCTTTTGTTAGTAACCACATAGATTGTTAATATCCACAGAGTTTATCATAGGCGGGTCCAGAGGGGGTTGGGGTGGATGCAGGGGTGCTCCCCCCTCCTTTGTCCTGAAAGTTTATTTAATGACCATTGAAACTCTCGTGGAAATGAAGTGCACCCCCTTTCTCAAGAGTGTGCACCCCACCTTTCTCAAAAAGTTGAATCCGCCCCTGCTTATACATGTATTTATAGATTACTGGTTAACGCTGTTGAATCATTAGATATTAACACTATATGTGTAATATCACAAAACAAATATCTTGAAACAAGTATTGACAGATTACTGCTTATCTCTGCTGGATTACTCGACATTGGCCGTGAGTGTATATTCCCCGCCCTCACAACACGTTGTTGCGTGAAGATATATGCACTGTTTTCACAAGAATAACCAGCCCGCTATATCGTGCATTCTGACAGTGCTATTCAGGTGGACAATATACACACATCAGCTGTGTTATTTTCCACTCATGTGCATCCGGCGACACCCTCGACGACCTGTACACCGTGGGAGTCTGTTTGTATGTCATTATAGAAACAGCGTTTGTTTCCACGCATCACCGCACGGGCGGTATCACTGCATTATATTTACATCAGCAGGGAGCGGTTGGGTAGCCCAGTGGTTAAAGCGTTTGCTTGTCACGCTGAAGGTCTGGATTCGATTCCACACATGGGTACGAAGTGTGAAGCCCATTTCTGGTGTCCCCCGCCGTGACATTGCTGGAATATTGCTACAAGCAACGTAAAACCCAACTCACTCACCCCTTATATTAGCGGCGAACACAGTCTCTCTAAAACCTTATGCCTGACGTTTGAGTCGAAAATGGGGGTCGGGTGGTCACATGGTGTCACCAGGTTCATCGTTGCTCAAACACTTTCGGTACGTTCTTTACTTACGACCGCGATGCCGGTGTTATTTTACTGAATGTCGTTAAACATTTGCTACATTTCCCCAGGAAGCATTCCAGTGAGCGTCTACAGGACAACGAAATGTCCTCCAACAGCCCCCGTCATCGTGTACTTCCATGGTGGAGGCTTTGTCGTCGGGTCACGGGCAACAGTAGACAGTATGTGTAGATACCTCGCCAGGTGAGAGAGTATACGCAGTTCATTCGTCAGGTGAGCCAGTATAGTCAGATCATTCGTCTGGTGAGTCAGTATATGCAGATCCCTCGCCAGGTGAGTCAATAAACGCAGTTCATTCATCAGGTGAGTCAGTATATGCAGATCTCTCGCCAGGTGAGTCAATATAGTCAGATCATTCGTCAGGTGAGTCAGTATACGCAGATCTCTCGCCAGGTGAATCAATATAGTCAGGTCATTCGTCAGGTGAGTCAATATAGTCAGATCATTCGTCAGGTGAGTCAGTATAGTCAGATCATTCGTCAGGTGAGTCAGTATATGCAGATCTCTCGCCAGGTGAGTCAATATAGTCAGATCATTCGTCAGGTGAGTCAGTATATGCAGATCTCTCGCCAGGTGAGTCAATATAGTCAGATCATTCGTCAAGTGAGTCAGTATATCCAGATCTCTCGCCAGGTGAGTCAATATAGTCAGATCATTCGTCAAGTGAGTCAGTATATGCAGATCCCTCGTTAGGTGTAACAGTATATAGAATATTGTAATGTCTCATCAGATGAAACATAAAACCAAATATGTAGATCTAATCCCGCACTGTGGAGGTGAGTTTCTTGAAAGTATCTAGAAAGCCCCTGGGTAGACAGTTAAGGAAGATCCCTATCCAGGTGAGTTAGTATGTGCTGATTTCTCACCAGGCGAGAGCATGCAGATCCCTCGTCAGGTGAGACAATAGACAGAGCATGCAGGTCTCTCGTCAGGTGAGACAATAGACAGAGCATGCAGGTCTCTCATCAGGTGAGACAGTAGACAGAGCATGCAGGTCCCTCGTCATCTGAGATAGTAGACAGAGCATGCAGATCCCTCGTCAGGTGAGACAGTAGACAGAGCATGCAGGTCCCTCGTCATCTGAGATAGTAGACAGAGCATGCAGATCCCTCGTCAGGTGAGACAGTAGACAGAGCATGCAGATCCCTCGTCAGGTGAGACAGTAGACAGAGCATGCAGGTCCCTCGTCATCTGAGATAGTAGACAGAGCATGCAGATCCCTCGTCAGGTGAGACAGTAGACAGAGCATGCAGGTCCCTCGTCATCTGAGACAGTGGACAGAGCATGCAGGTCTCTCGTCAGGTGTGATAGTAGACAGATCATGCAGGTCTCTCGTCAGGTGAGACAGTAGATAGAGCATGCAGGTCTCTCGTCAGGTGTGACAGTAGACAGAGCATGCAGGTCTCTCGACAGGTGAGATAGTAGACAGAGCATGCAGGTCCCTCGTCATCTGAGACAGTAGACAGAGCATGCAGGTCCCTCGTCATCTGAGATAGTAGACAGAGCATGCAGGTCCCTCGTCATCTGAGACAGTAGACAGAGCATGCAGGTCCCTCGTCATCTGAGATAGTAGACAGAGCATGCAGGTCCCTCGTCATCTGAGATAGTAGACAGAGCATGCAGGCCCCTCGTCATCTGAGACAGTAGACAGAGCATGCAGGCCTCTCGTCATCTGAGACAGTAGACAGAGCATGCAGGCCTCTCGTCATCTGAGACAGTAGACAGAGCATGCAGGTCCCTTGTCATCTACGACAGTAGACAGAGCATGCAGGCCCCTCGTCAGGTGAGACAGTAGACAGAGCATGCAGGTCCCTCGTCATCTGAGACAGTAGACAGAGCATGCAGGTCCCTCGTCAGGTGAGATAGTAGACAGAGCATGCAGGTCCCTCGTCATCTGAGATAGTAGACAGAGCATGCAGGTCCCTCGTCATCTGAGACAGTAGACAGAGCATGCAGATCCCTCGTCAGGTGAGATAGTAGACAGAGCATGCAGGTCCCTCGTCAGGTGAGACAGTAGACAGATCATGCAGGTCCCTCGTCAGGTGAGACAGTAGACAGAGCATGCAGGTCCCTCGTCAGGTGAGATAGTAGACAGAGCATGCAGGTCCCTCGTCAGGTGAGATAGTAGACAGAGCATGCAGGTCCCTCGTCATCTGAGATAGTAGACAGAGCATGCAGGTCCCTCGTCATCAGAGCACAGTGAGACAGAGCATGCAGGTCCCTCGTAGACAGAGCATGCAGGTCCCTCGTCATCAGGTGAGACAGTAGATGCAGGTCCCTCGTCAGGTGAGACAGTAGACAGAGCATGCAGGTCCCTCGTCAGGTGAGACAGTAGACAGAGCAGCATGCAGGTCCCTCGTCAGGTGAGACAGTAGACAGAGCATGCAGGTCCCTCGTCAGGTGAGACAGTAGACAGAGCATGCAGGTCCCTCGTCAGGTGAGACAGTAGACAGAGCATGCAGGTCCCTCGTCAGGTGAGACAGTAGACAGAGCATGCAGGTCCCTCGTCATCTGAGACAGTAGACAGATCATGCAGATCCCTCGTCAGGTGAGACAGTAGACAGAGCATGTCGAACCCTCGTCAGGTGTGACAATAGATAGAATAGCCTATACCCCATCAGGTGAGACAGATCCCTCGCCATGTCCGTGTGAGAAGCCGCAATCAGCATTCAAATGAAATGATACAGTCAGCACAAGTCACACTCGTCAGGTTGAAAGGCATTTACCACACAATGCAATCCGTAGTATCTCCCTCTCAGTAACCAGATCCAATACACCACCTAGTTGTTATCACAGATAGGACCTCTACACAGAAAGTGGGGATCAGTGTCCTGTCTGGGATGTGTCTGAAGAAGATATATACACTTTCATGTTTACATCAGAGTTAATTCCTTATTTCCTGAGTGAAAACTAAACATGAGTTGGCGTATAAACATGTCAACATACATATTCAAGATATAAAATGTTATTTATTTATGCAAATATATGAATCGTGTACATGATCCGTGTGATGGTGAATATCAATAAAAACACATACGTGTATCTGCACATTCATCCTTGATAATGTAGTGTTCTCCATTCACATTGTTATTCCGAGGGCGCAGATGTTGCTGGAATTGTTCCACCACCTGCAGTATTGTTTTATGCATGCAGCAATTCGGTTGAAACAATACACCATTACTGTTACCTGAATGTTTCAACAATATTACAAGAATAATGCAGTATTGATACAAGAATGTTGCAATACTGTTTAAAGCATGCTGCAATATTGTAACAAAATGCCGAAATGCCGAATACTGCAACTTTGTTGTAACAATACTTAAGTATTGTTTAAAGAATGCTGCAATTTTGATACAGCATGCAGCAGTACAGTTCCAAGAATATTTTACAAGGATGTTGCAAAATAGTTATGAGGATGCTGCAATAATGTTACTGCAATAATGTTACTGCAACAGTGTTTAAAGCATACAACAGTATTGTTCCAAGAATTCTACAATATTGTCACAAGTGTGATGAGATGGTTCCGATAAGATCGAAAAAATTTATGCTTGACACTATGCACGGGACCTGTAGTCTTAACACATCCTCCATCTTCAAAGCTGACACCGAATTTACAGAAACGACTGACACACTGTTATAGCTCACTCCTTTGTATCACATAAATACCGGCAACGAATTGATACCAAATGTATCAGTGCAGGGATTCCTAATTCAATTAAAAAGGCAATGTCTGGAAACGTTGTAGTGGACTGAGTTGAAGACGTGATTATGTACACACAGGGATACTCCTTGCATCGTAGTGAGTGTGGAGTACAGACTGGCACCTGAGAACAAGCTGCCGGCGTCTCTGGACGACGCTGTGTGCAACTCGCTGGGTCAAAATGAACAAAGCTCTGATAGGTGAGATATCGTTCCGAGTGACAGTTAAAAGAAAATCAAACTTCTTATCAATGCATTTGTTTTCCATTCCATACACACTACACAACATTTATGTAAGTAGCATATGTGTCAAGGACTGGACACACACACATTTCGGTTTAGGTCTGATGGCATGTTTTTTATGCACAGGGCCTATCATAATAACATGGTGATTGGTTTGTTAAAGTGAAATAAATAATATTTCATGATATAAGAATATGATATGATTTGGCAATTTGTCCAACTTTGACAGTTAATAGCATATGAATCAAATTTGATATTCCCTCCACTGTTGAGGTCTTTCAAGGGCATTTTGAGAATGGCTGAACACAAGACATGAAACGTTTTATTAACAAATCCCGAGTGTGTGAGTTTGGGTTTTCGCAGCTTTTAACAATATTCCAGCAGTATCACGACGGGGTACACCAGAAAAGGGCTTCACACATTGTACCCATGATGGGAATCGAACCCGGGTCTACGGTGTGACGAGCGAACGCTTTAACCCAAAGGCTACCCTGTCTCCAACTAATAAAGAAATTGTTATAAAAAATTATTGATCTCCCCATCAAGGGTATTTAAGGGTTTAACTTATGGAACAGAGAGTGACATTACATCCGCAAAGATTAATAAGTGATTTATATAACATTTTTGTTATGTTTTTATAAATTCTACTTCAACTCAACAGTAAACCGTATTATACGCCACAATGCTCTATGTTCCCTTTATTTCCATGAGTATATCTATGAGTCTGTATTTACTATGTGACAGGTGCAAGTAACTTGAGCGCCATGGGCACAGCCGGGGACAGCGTAGGCGGTCACATCGCCACTACAGTGTGTCATGAAGTTCCTGGCATGGACTTTCAGGTAACGCTAGACCGAGGATGTTTGAACCCTGCTTTGAACACTCAGCCTGCCACTAAAATGACATGAGTCGTAGACATTTGTCATTTTGGTTCTGTCAGACCAAGATCTGTGCGAATCTGGTATACGAAGCCTTGATCCTAGCACATCCAAGGGACGCAGTGCAATACAGTCACCCTAACTTACGTTTGAATATACTCACATTACGAACTTTGTTTTGTGCAATAAAGTACCTATATTTTGTAGAGACCAATGGTAAGTGTGCTAACCCGTTGTGAAGAAAACACGTGTCCATTACGATTCCCGATTTGTTACTAATACGGGTAGGGGGGGCGTTATAAAAAACGTTGATTGAAATGGGGAATGGGTGGGCGTTCAGCCAATTATGTAGTCCTAACAAGCCACCACACCCTCCCTCCCCAACCACCTCGCACACCCCGACCACCACGAATCATAATATTAAGTGACCATTCCTGTTTGCCAGACCAACAAACTTGAAATTGAGACACTTGCGTACCATTTGTATTGTACGCGCGGGGGGACTCTAGCTACAGCTGAATATACAAACATGTCTTCACCGTCATATATATCTAATATTGAGATGTCTAGCTGATAGAATCATTCCTACACAACGTCCATGAGAGATGGAAGGAGAAATGGGGTTAACGTCACGTCGCATAGTGATCATTTACATTGTTCAGATTCTTTCCCCATTTTTACTATTTCGAAAAGCGTTAGTTTATGAATAGCTACATGCTGCCTGGAATCCACCAATCAACGCTTTGAGCTATGTCCCGGATGTTTCAGGTGCTGGTGTACCCGATGGTTGACCTAGAGAACATATATCCCTCCTTTGAAGAATTCGCAAACTCGCCAGGGGTAAACAAGAAAATCCTTGAGTGGTAGGCGTAAACGTCATTTAAACGTCATGTTCTCATATTATTTGGTATTGGTCTGTGTGCTGTTCTGTATTACAAAATGCTGGAGCCGCCATTAAGCTGGAACATTGCTGAGTGCGGCGTTGTTATAAATAATAAACAACACACCAACCTGGAAGCAGGAATAGGTTAGAACAACTTTGGACAAGTTCTACACAACGATCCCAGCCGTTTGGCCGACGCACATAATACACACGTATTACTGGTATAATTCACTGAGCCATCGAGGATGAAGGAAGTCGCCCAAACACTTCAGTTCGGTTATGTAGATCAATCTAACAGTGAATAACATGAAAACATAGGAGATTCACTGACACAACACGATGTCACACGCAGCCCTGATGACGTCATCACATGTGGAACGTATACTCCTCGCTATGGAATTTTAGTGCTAACGTAGCTTTGTGTAGCCTAACCAAGGTCAGCACTGCAACATATGAAGTGTCACCGCACCGAGTACGTCAATTTGTTTGATGATGATGATGATGATGATGATGATGAATCAAGTGTCACCGCACCGAGTACGTCTATTTGTTTGATGATGATGATGGTGATGATGATGAATCAAGTGTCACCGCACCGAGTACGTCTATTTGTTTGATGATGATGATGATGATGATGAATCAAGTGTCACCGCACCGAGTACGTCTATTTGTTTGATGATGATGATGATGATGATGATGATGAATCAAGTGTCACCGCACCGAGTACGTCTATTTGTTTGATGATGATGATGGTGATGATGATGAATCAAGTGTCACCGCACCGAGTACGTCTATTTGTTTGATGATGATGATGATGATGATGATGATGATGATGAATCAAGTGTCACCGCACCGAGTACGTCTATTTGTTTCATGATGATGATGATGATGATGATGAATCAAGTGTCACAGCACCGAGTACGTCTATTTGTTTGATGATGATGATGATGATGTTTGTAGGCTCGAGAACCTCGCCCTCACGTCCCCGGCACAGCTGTCTAACCCGCGTGTAACTCCCTTGTTGAGGAAGGAGTTCTCTGGTCTTCCTCCAGCCTTGGTTCTCCTCGCCGAACTGGATCCACTCAGAGACAGCGGATATGGTAGTTTTCTGATCATATTTCAAATGAATAAGTTTGAAAAAACACTTCTTTGAACAGTATTTCTGTTGTATCATGGCATGTCAGGTTAATGTTGGCGGAAAGCCCGTCTGAAACGTTTGCCAACTACAACTGGGATATTGAGTCGTCAAACCTAGAATCACAGCGACTCCCTGATTGGTGGCCACCTTTACCCGATCCTGACACCACTTAGAGGCGATAAGTCAGAGTCAAAGATATTTATTGTATTCAAGGGCCCCGGACCGTAATATACTCGTACATAACTTTGCTATACCTTTTATAATCAATCAATTGTCAAGAGACGAAATCCTTTAAAATCCCTGAACCCTGAAGATATGTTGTCTTAATGGTGCTTCTAAACTATGGCAGGGCGGTGGGGTAGCCTAATGGTTAAAGCGTTGGCTCGTCACGCCGAAGACCCGGGTTCGAATCCCCACATGGGTACAATGTGTGAAGCCCATTTCTGGTGTCCCCCGCCGTGATGTTGCTGGAACATTGCTAAAAGCGGCGTAAAACCATACTCAGTCAGTCAGTCTAAACTATGGCAAGGGATTCCGTGGCATTTACTGAAGATGCATTTTTGCGTATATGTTTCCATGTCCACCTTTGATGCAGGAATAGTGGGTCTTGTATTGCATTCTTCCACTAAATGATGTCAATGAATTTGTTCTGTTGTTTTTAGTTAAATATTTCACAATAGAAAATAATTCTGTGGGGTTACTGTATTTCTTTGTAAGGCTTGACTTCATTACGTTGTTTTGTTTATGGAGTTATAAACGTAAATACTCAGCGTAAATCACATTATACGCCCAGTTTTTACCTCCACAAATTCAAAACTTACTTGAACTCAACAAATACTAAATTTTTATTTTGTCTTTTCACTCGTATCAGATTAGTACCATAAACGATCGCATGATGGTACGATGTGTCGACTGTTATTTTAGCTTACCGTGACCGGATGTCCGAGGCTGGCGTGCAGACAAAGCTAGTGTTGATAAAGGGAGCGCCTCATGCCTTCATCAGGATGCCAGGTGAGCTACTGCAGGGTCAACCTCGCAGCGAAAACATATGTTCCTAGGAAAAATGGGAACGTTTTTTTTCTCTCTATCTTATTCTTTGATGAAATTTATATAAACTGTATAGCTTCAGCATACCGGTACATGTGTAAACGAATCTGACAATTGCGTAGATCGATGCTTATGCTGTTGATCACTGGATTGTCTGGTCCAGACCCGATTACTTACATACCTTTGCCATATAGCTGGAATACTGCTGCTTGTGACGTTAAACAACAAACAGACAGACAAACAAAGGAATCAGTTTGAAGTGTGTGTATATATATATATATTCAGGCAATATTGTTGCAGGTCATTTCAAACGGCTTTGTGCATCAGCGTATGCATCAATGTCGGAATTCATCAGGAAACATGGCAGCAACGACACGAAGACGCCTGCTGAAGACTAGCGACCATATGACGTCATATCCGCCCGGTGTTGGCATGTATCTACCCCAAGCCGACCGACTGCCATGTAAACAGAATGTTTGAATGTCTCAATACTCAAGCTTTTCTTATAATGGGCAGATTTTTATACTTCATTTCAATTGTGTTTTTAAGAGTTTATTTTAGTTGTTATGAATAATGTAATAAACCCTTTTGAAAATCAAAACGGATTGGCTTTATCGAGAATACGCTCTGTGGCAAGGCATAATAAAATACCCCGATGCAACAACAACTGTATGAAACTGTAGTCTGTTGACATCCCCTCCGCTACAATGTAATTATGACTACATTTTGTCAGGTGCGAGACGAAACATTAAGACATTTATCCCCATGCTTTAATTATACTGACTCCCAGTTTCTTGTTTTGTCTTCTTAATGTTGAGCGTCTGGCAAACCAAAATATACTATACGATCCACACCGCGGTTAGAAGAGGAAACTGCTCATGGAAGAACTGTGTTTCACAGCTTGTCGACAATCGGAAGGGATATTTTTGCACGTTTGTTTCTGCTTATCATGCGCATGTACTATTACACCTGACCAATAAGAAATGAAAGATGAATTTTTTGAAAACGTTTAGGGGAACCTGTTCGCAGCAGGTATGACACGGCTCAGCTGATTGGACTGAAACAATAACCCTCTGTGATAAACTGAACCATGGTCTTACTGAAACAATAACCCTCTTTGGAACATTGGACCATGATCTGACTGAAACAATAACCCCCTGGGGAACACTGAACTACGATCTGACTGAAACAATTACCCTCTGTGGAACATTGGACCATGATCTGACTGAAACAATAACCCCCTGGGGAACACTGAACTACGATCTGACTGAAACAATAACCCTCTGGGGAACGCTGAACTACGATCTGACTGAAACAATAACCCTCTGGGGACCACTGGACCATGATCTGACTGAAACAATCACCCTCTGGGGAACACTGAACTACGATCTGACTGAAACAATAACCCTCTGGGGACCACTGGGCCATGATCTGACTGAAACAATAACCCTCTGGGGACCATGATCTGACTGAAACAATAACCCTCTGGGGAACATGGGACCATGATCTGACTGAAACAATAACCCTCTGGGGACCACTGGGCCATGATCTGACTGACTGAAACAATAACCCTCTGGGGAACATGGGACCATGATCTGACTGAAACAATAACCCTATGGGGACCACTGGACCATGATCTGACTGAAACAATAACCCTATGGGGACCACTGAACCATGATCTGACTGAAACAATAACCCTCTCGGGAACATGGGACCATGATCTGACTGAAACAATCACCCTCTGGGGAACACTGAACTACGATCTGACTGAAACAATAACCCTCTGGGGACCACTGGGTCATGATCTGACTGAAACAATAACCCTCTGGGGACCATGATCTGACTGAAACAATACCCTCTGGGGAACATGGGACCATGATCTGACTCCTCTGGGGAACACTGAACCACGATCTGACTGAAACAATAACCCTGGGGAACACCATGATCTGACTGAAACAATAACCCTCTGGGAACACTGAACCATGATCTGACTGAAACAATAACCCTCTGGGAACACTGGACCATGATCTGACTGAACATGGGGAACACTGAACCATGATCTGACTGAAACAATAACCCAACACCTGAAACAATAACCCTCTGGGGAACATGGACCATGATCTGACTGAAACAATAACCCTGGGGAACACTGGACCATGATCTGACTGAAACAATAACCCTCTGGGGAACACTGGACCATGATCTGACTGAAAACATGGGAACTGAAACAATAACCCTATGGGGAACACTGGGACCATGATCTGACTGAAACAATAACCCTGGGGAACACTGAACCATGATCTGACTGAAACAATAACCCTATGGGGAACACACCATGATCTGACTGAAACAATAACCCTCTGGGACCATGGACCATGATCTGACTGAAACAATAACCCTCTGGGGAACACTGAACCATGATCTGACTGAAACAATAACCCTCTGGGGAACACTGAACTACGATCTGACTGAAACAATAACCCTCTGGGGACCACTGGACCATGATCTGACTGAAACAATAACCCTCTGGGGAACATTGGACCATGATCTGACTGAAACAATAACCCTCTGGGGAACACTGAACAACGACCTGACTGAAACAATAACCCTCTGGGGAACAATCATCTTCGATTATCTCCAGGGTATACGTTACGATCACTCTCCACTAAACCCTGGATGCATCCACGGCTTGGCCCGATAATTATATTACCTCCCTTTGCTGGCTCCGCATTCTCACAGTAGCCAATCAGCTGGGGAACACTGAACAACGACCTGACTGAAACAATAACCCTCTGGGGAACAATCATCTTCGATTATCTCCAGGGTATACGTTACGATCACTCTCCACTAAACCCTGGATGCATCCACGGCTTGGCCCGATAATTATATTACCTCCCTTTGCTGGCTCCGCATTCTCACAGTAGCCAATCAGCTAAGCCGCCGTTACATCTGAGCTTGCCAGTGTCAACAAAGATAGCGGTCGCAGTCGCGAAGGTTTATTCGCAGTACCACTCAGATTTTTGGAGAAATAATAGACAAATTGACAGATCTGAAACTTTCAAAAATATATATAAAGAACTCCTTCCACGTCTTTCAGAGTACCCTCTGCATCAAATGTGTTGCCAAGTTTAAACGGTTAGATAATTTGAGAAGCGAAAGTGAGTTGTGATTGGTTCGCTCAACTTCCCAGCGTAGACACCTGATTGGATTAAAAGCCAGCAAAGGGAGGTAATAAAATAATCGGGCCAAGCCGTGGATGCATCCAGGATATAGTGGAGAGTGATCGTAAAATATACCCTGGAGATTATCGAGGATGGGGAACACTGAACAACGATCTGACTGAAACAATAACCCTCCGGGGAATGCTGGACCATGATCTGACTGAAACAATTACCCCCTGTGGAACACTGGACCATGGTCTGACTGAAACAATTACCCTCTGGGGAACACTCAACTACGATCTGACTGAAACAATAACCCTCTGGGGAACACTGGACCATGATCTGACTGAAACAATAACCCTCTGGGGAACACTGAACTACGGTCTGACTGAAACAATAACCCTTTCGGGAACACTGAACTACGATCTGACTGAAATAATTACCCTCTGGGGAACACTGAACCACGATCTGACTGAAACAATAACCCTCTGGGAACATGGGACCATGATCTGACTGAAACAATAACCTCTGGGGAACACTGAACCACGATCTGACTGAAACAATAACCCTCTGGGGAACACTGGACCATGATCTGACTGAAACAATAACCCTCTGGGGAACACTGAACTACGATCTGACTGAAACAATAACCCTCTGGGGAACATGGGACCATGATCTGACTGAAACAATAACCCTCTGGGGAACACTGAACCATGATCTGACTGAAACAATAACCCTCTGGGGAACACTGAACTACGATCTGACTGAAACAATAACCCTCTGGGGAACACTGAACCATGATCTGACTGAAACAATAACACTGGGACCTCTGGGGAACACTGGGAACACCATGATCTGACTGAAACAATAACCTCTGGGGAACATGACCATGATCTGACTGAAACAATAACCCTCTGGGGAACACTGAACCATGATCTGACTGAAACAATAACCCTCTGGGGAACACTGAACCATGATCTGACTGAAACAATAACCCTCTGGGGAACACTGAACCATGATCTGACTGAAACAATAACCCTCTGGGGAACACTGAACCATGATCTGACTGAAACAATAACCCTCTGGGGGAACACTGAACCATGATCTGACTGAAACAATAACCCTCTGGGGAACATGGGACCATGATCTGACTGAAACAATAACCCTCTGGGGAACACTGAACCATGATCTGACTGAAACAATAACCCTCTGGGGAACATGGGACCATGATCTGACTGAAACAATAACCCTCTGGGGAACACTGAACTACGATCTGACTGAAACAATAACCCTCTGGGAACATGGGACCATGATCTGACTGAAACAATAATAACCCTCGGGGAACACTGAACCACGATCTGACTGAAACAATAACCCTCTGGGGAACACTGGACCATGATCTGACTGAAACAATAACCCTCTGGGAACACTGAACCATGATCTGACTGAAACAATAACCCTCTGGGAACACTGGGACCATGATCTGACTGAAACAATAACCCTCTGGGGAACACTGAACCATGATCTGACTGAAACAATAACCCTCTGGGGAACACTGGACCATGATCTGACTGAAACAATAACCCTCTGGGGAACACTGAAACGATCTGACTGAAACAATAACTCCTCTGACTGGAATGATCTGACTGAAACAATAACCCTCTGGGGAACACTGAACCATGATCTGACTGAAACAATAACCCTCTGGGAACACTGAACCATGATCTGACTGAAACAATAACCCTCTGGGGAACACTGAACCACGATCTGACTGAAACAATAACCCTCTGGGAACATGGGACCATGATCTGACTGAAACAATAACCTCGGGGAACACTGAACCACGATCTGACTGAAACAATAACCCTCTGGGGAACATGGGACCATGATCTGACTGAAACAATAACCCTCTTGGGAACACTGAACCATGATCTGACTGAAACAATAACCCTCTGGGGAACACTGAACCATGATCTGACTGAAACAATAACCCTCTGGGGAACACTGGACCATGATCTGACTGAAACAATAACCCTCTGGGGAACACTGAACTACGATCTGACTGAAACAATAACCCTCTGGGGAACATGGGACCATGATCTGACTGAAACAATAACCCTCCGGGGAACACTGAACCACGATCTGACTGAAACAATAACCCTCTGGGGAACATGGGACCATGATCTGACTGAAACAATAACCCTCTGGGGAACACTGAACTACGATCTGACTGAAACAATAACCCTCTGGGGAACACTGGGACCATGATCTGACTGAAACAATAACCCTCTCTGGGGAACACTGAACTACGATCTGACTGAAACAATAACCCTCTGGGAACATGGGACCATGATCTGACTGAAACAATAACCCTCTGGGGAACACTCTGATCTGGGAACAATAACTGAACAACCATGATCTGACTGAAACAATAACCCTCTGGGAACACTGAACTACGATCTGACTGAAACAATAACCCTCTGGGAACACTGAACCATGATCTGACTGAAACAATAACCCTCTGGGGAACACTGAACTACGATCTGACTGGGGGGGACATGGGACCATGATCTGACTGAAACAATAACCCTCTGGGGAACACTGAACTACGATCTGACTGAAACAATAACCCTCTGGGAACATGGGACCATGATCTGACTGAAACAATAACCCTCCGGGGAACACTGAACTACGATCTGACTGAAACAATAACCCTCTGGGGAACATGGGACCATGATCTGACTGAAACAATAACCCTCCTGGGGAACACTGAACTACGATCTGACTGAAACAACCCTCTGGGAACATGGGACCATGATCTGACTGAAACAATAACCCTCCGGGGAACACTGAACTACGATCTGACTGAAACAATAACCCTCTGGGGAACACTGGACCATGATCTGACTGAAACAATAACCCTCTGGGGAACACTGAACTACGATCTGACTGAAACAATAACCCTCTGGGGAACACTGAACCACGATCTGACTGAAACAATAACCCTCTGGGGAACACTGAACCATGATCTGACTGAAACAATAACCCTCTGGGGAACACTGAACTACGATCTGACTGAAACAATAACCCTCTGGGGAACATGGGACCATGATCTGACTGAAACAATAACCCTCTGGGGAACACTGAACCACGATCTGACTGAAACAATAACCCTCTGGGGAACATGGGACCATGATCTGACTGAAACAATAACCCTCCTGGGGAACACTGAACTACGATCTGACTGAAACAATAACCCTCTGGGGAACATGGGACCATGATCTGACTGAAACAATAACCCTCATGATCTGACTGGGAACACTGAACTACGATCTGACTGAAACAATAACCCTCTGGGAACATGGGACCATGATCTGACTGAAACAATAACCCTCTGGGGAACACTGAACTACGATCTGACTGAAACAATAACCCTCTGGGGAACATGGGACCATGATCTGACTGAAACAATAACCCTCCGGGGAACACTGAACTACGATCTGACTGAAACAATAACCCTCTGGGGAACATGGGACCATGATCTGACTGAAACAATAACCCTCTGGGGAACACTGAACCACGATCTGACTGAAACAATAACCCTCTGGGAACATGGGACCATGATCTGACTGAAACAATAACCCTCTGGGAACACTGAACCATGATCTGACTGAAACAATAACCCTCTGGGGAACACTGAACCATGATCTGACTGAAACAATAACCCTCTGGGAACACTGAACTACGATCTGACTGAAACAATAACCCTCTGGGAACATGGGACCATGATCTGACTGAAACAATAACCCTCCGGGGAACACTGAACTACGATCTGACTGAAACAATAACCCTCTGGGAACATGGGCCATGATCTGACTGAAACAATAACCCTCTGGGGAACACTGAACCATGATCTGACTGAAACAATAACCCTCTGGGGAACACTGAACCATGATCTGACTGAAACAATAACCCTCTGGGGAACACTGAACCATGATCTGACTGAAACAATAACCCTCTGGGGAACACTGAACCATGATCTGACTGAAACAATAACCCTCTGGGAACACTGAACCACTGATCTGACTGACTGAACAACGATCAATAACCCTCTGGGAACACTGAACTACGATCTGACTGAAACAATAACCCTCTGGGGAACATGAACCATGATCTGACTGAAACAATAACCCTCTGGGAACACTGAACCATGATCTGACTGAAACAATAACCCTCTGGGAACATGGGACCATGATCTGACTGAAACAATAACCCTCTGGGAACACTGAACCACGATCTGACTGAAACAATAACCCTCTGGGGAACATGGGACCATGATCTGACTGAAACAATAACCCTCTGGGGAACACTGAACTACGATCTGACTGAAACAATAACCCTCTGGGGAACATGGGACCATGATCTGACTGAAACAATAACCCTCCGGGGAACACTGAACTACGATCTGACTGAAACAATAACCCTCTGGGGAACACTGGACCATGATCTGACTGAAACAATAACCCTCTGGGGAACACTGAACTACGGTCTGACTGAAACAATAACCCTCTGGGGAACACTGAACTACGATCTGACTGAAACAATAACCCTCTGGGGACCACTGGACCATGATCTGACTGAAACAATAACCCTCTGGGGAACATGGGACCATGATCTGACTGAAACAATAACCCTCTGGGGAACACTGAACTACGATCTGACTGAAACAATAACCCTCTGGGGACCATAGGACCATGATCTGACTGAAACAATAACCCTCCGGGGAACACTGAACTACGGTCTGACTGAAACAATAACCCTCTGGGGAACATGGGACCATGATCTGACTGAAACAATAACCCTCCGGGGAACACTGAACTACGATCTGACTGAAACAATAACCCTCTGGGGACCACTGGACCATGATCTGACTGAAACAATAACCCTTTGGGGAACACTGAACTACGATCTGACTGAAACAATAACCCTCTGGGGAACACTGGACCATGATCTGACTGAAACAATAACCCTCCGGGGAACACTGAACTACGGTCTGACTGAAACAATAACCCTCTGGGGAACACTGAACTACGATCTGACTGAAACAATAACCCTCTGGGGAACATGGGACCATGATCTGACTGAAACAATAACCCTCCAGGGAACACTGAACTACGATCTGACTGAAATAATTACCCTCTGGGGAACATGGGACCATGATCTGACTGAAACAATAACCCCCTTGGGACCACTGAACCATGATCTGACTGAAACAATAACCCTCTGGGGAACACTGAACCATGATCTGACTGAAACAATAACCCTCTGGGGAACACTGAACTACGATCTGACTGAAACAATAACCCTCTGGGGAACACTGAACTACGGTCTGACTGAAACAATAACCCTCTGGGGAACACTGAACTACGATCTGACTGAAACAATAACCCTCTGGGGAACACTGGACCATGATCTGACTGAAACAATAACCCTCCGGGGAACACTGAACTACGGTCTGACTGAAACAATAACCCTCTGGGGAACACTGAACTACGATCTGACTGAAACAATAACCCTCTGGGGAACATGGGACCATGATCTGACTGAAACAATAACCCTCTGGGGAACACTGAACTACGATCTGACTGAAACAATAACCCTCTGGGGAACATGGGACCATGATCTGACTGAAACAATAACCCTCTGGGGAACATTCATCCTCGGTAATCTCCAGGGTATATGTTACGATCACTCTCCACTATACCTTGGATGCATCCACGGCTTGGCCCAATAATTATATTACCGTGATGTCTCTGAAATCTTGGTCATAAAAGGGTTTTTTTCCTAACTCTCATTTGCCTGTTAGATAAACCTCATAACTTATTATATTCGCATATGACCATCGTTTTTATATAATTTTCGCCCATTTTGTATCCCATCTCAGGTTTGCTATTTTCGACTGTGTGGCGTCTGGATATATGTTATGGTGTACACACAAGAAGTCCATTTGGACTACTGTGATTCCTACTTAGAGCTAAAAATGCCTCGACAGTTTCATCGACATATAGGTATCTGACCAGATCACAAGGCTTCTAAACCGGAGACAAAAATTCCTATCGCTGTTGTTAAAGAGTGATATTTACCACTGTATGGTCGTGTCCGTATTTTATGAACTGTACGTGTTGGGTTACCTTCTTAAGCACAGGCAACTGTAGCGCAAACAGGGTTGAAACGAGAGAAAATGACCAGTAGCCCGTGCCTTATAAGGAACAGACACTTCCTTACGTGGCGACAGTTGGTACAATAGGTACTAGTTGGAGACTGGGGAGGGGAGGGTACCCCAGTGGATAATGCGTTCGCTCGTCACGCCCAAGTCGATTCCCCAAGTGGGTACAATACGTTAAGCCTATTTCTAGTGTACCCGTGCTGATGTTTGCTGGAATAATGATGAAAGCGGCGTAAAACCTCACTCACTTACTCCCTGAACACTTTGTAATATTCCAGGAAAATAGCTTTCCTTTTCAGAAGTAAAAATAATTGCTATGTGTTTTATGAGTGCCGACCGAAAATGGCAGGTCTCTATTTGAACATGTGTGATATATTACTAGCACTTCACCCATCTCGTTGATGTAGACGGATACGGGATTGAGAGTGATCTCCCTTCGCTTCATCTAACCGAAGAGACGTCATGGCTGGCTCTTAGAATCGTGACTTTTGGTATTTGCAGACGGCAGGCCTTTATAGAAAGGCCATGGCCTTGCAAGCAATATATTCACCCCAACTTATTCGTAACTGAAAATTATAAATATTAAGTGATATTCACATCTCGCATTAAATAATGACAATATCAAATATCTTTTCAATACATGGTGTTTATGTTGGGGGACAGTTATTATTATAATGGTGGATTGGTACATCAGAATGAATCATGGGAGGGTCAGAAACATTAATTCACATATCTGGGGAGAGTCATGAAAAACGGACATGTACAGGTTTCTGAAGATCCATTTTAACACAGCAAAAATATAATTACTTTTAAAACTCTTTATTCATAATAACTACAACAAAAGGCAACAAAACATCCAAATATCTAGGTAATAAACCACTATAAAATAACCGAGGCAGAAGTGTAAAATGCCTCTACAAAGGAGCTAAAAAATCCAAAACGGTTTGGCCAAATATGGAGTAAAGCATATGAAAAGCTGTGACAATGAAGGCATATAGCCCAATGCTTTAAGCAGTACAACTATAGATGAAAACGGGTATGATTTAACAACTTCCAAAAACAATCATCAAGTTCTGGGTTGAAGTTTCAACAGTTTGTAAATTCCTTCTCTTGGCCCCAACAGACAAGGTAATGTTGGATTTAATAAATACAACCTCCAATAATTATCTCCTTAAGTATGTAAACCAATATTTGGCAAAAATATTACAAACAAACTATTATGAAAATATACACCAACTACTTATACTCTGCAAAAATCATTACAAAATTATTATCTTGAATCTGTTCTAGAAACACAACTTGGATATGTAATGCATATTGTATAAGGTTATATATTCATCAGTAATAGAAATCATGCACACTGAGTACACTCAAGTACCAATTTCTGTGAAACAACAACACAATGTAAAGGGTTAAGCTCTTCACTGAAACATTGATAGAGTATAATTACACATCATCAGCATCCCATAGTAAACTGATCTCTCCACATACAGTGGTGAAACTGTGTTTTTCATCAGCTGTGTAACAATTGTGGCCTAAACGTAGGTGGACCAAAAGAGATAACAACCTCAACTTCCAAATAAGTACATCTACTAACGAATGACAATAGTACATTTTATTGGGTTGGAATAAGATTTTATCCGTTTATGCTTCACCATTTCTTATATACTGTATGTTTTTCATTTCCTCTGACTAAAACTGTTTTTAAAAGAAATTTTAATCTTTTCTCGTTTCATTTTTGTTTTGTCAGTCATTCTTGTAAACCAGCTAAAATCAACAAAATAAGACCTTATGACTGATCAAGGCGACTTTGCATCACAAACTTGGAACTTACAGAAATATAAATACAACTTCTTCAGAGAAGCTGATTTAAAGAAGCCATTTCAAACAATATCTATTAGTTTAGCTAATTGCTTAAACATCATTTTAAAGAAATATGCATCAAATAATGTCTTCACTTTATGTCCACCTTTGTTACGAATTCACAGACCAGACTAATTCAAACCAGATCTTATACTCAGATATAATACCTCTCACCATTTGGATACGAGTCTCCGGAGAACCTCACTTCAAAACCTTGAGCAACCTTTGACACCCTGTCTTACTAAAGGATGCATTTTTCTTCATCAAATAAGATGTTAGCTTCTGAAATTTTTTAGCCTTCATTTCTACATCATCTCTGTTCATAAATTAATGACTTTACCTTCATTGTGAATATTTGGGAAATTTCTCTTGAGGTTTCTGAGATACAAAAATCAGTTATGCTAATCTGAATGCTTTGTACATTGGTACTGGGAGTTTGGAAGCCTCTGGGTAATAGCCTGATCAAAAAGTTCACCTGTTGTGATCCCCTAAGGAGGTGTCTTCGGATCTGAACAGAATAGTACTGAAAAGGATCTGATCTGAATGAAAGTTTACACAAACCTACGGTACTATTCCAGCATTATATTAGTCATCCAATCAAATTGTGTCACCCCAAGCTCCTTACAATGTTAGTCCTCTGCTATGAGCAAAGACTAGTCAACTTCTGATTTTTCTGGGTAGGCTAACGGTTTATTAATGGAGCATTTGTCTGAAGGATTATAAGTGGAAGGCATCTACTCAAACTTGGTCCCTTCATCATAAATGAAGTCAAATGCATGAACCTCCTTCCGTTGTTGGTATTGGCATGGTTTCAGTAATTCAAGCCATTTCTTCAGTTAATCACAACCGAAGGTTTACAGAAAACCACCTGAAGGTTATAGAAGGTACGGGTAAGACAAGTAGGTAGCAAAAGTATATCAATAATGAAATTACATAACTTCAGACATCCCCGATCAGTTCCCATGTGACCTACGTGATATCTAACTGGTATATATAGTTTTAGCACCTAAACAATTTCAGATCTTTACTGACCTTCTAATCTGACAATATAACACTGACGTGAGTTCAGATCAACAAATGCTACTTCCTTAACAACAGACCATTAAACATACTGGAACATTAAGTCTGTCTTAAACAAAAACAGATAAATGAGATCATGATACAGTATGGTCATTTAATTATGAAATATCTGCTTGGTTTTCAAGTTAGTCATTATGTAAACCTCCCCCTTCCTTGATTCTTTCATATTGGGTAATACTAGGGTAATACTGATAACATAATAAGATCTCTACTGTGTTTTAAAAACAATGTTCGTTTGTGTGTTCGCTGTTTAATACCACACTATCCACTATGATATGATAACCAAGCCAGTAAACCTGACCACCTAACTTTGATTTTATTGTGTATAATTATCCATAATTTCAATAACACAACTAGTATTTACAGTTTGTAACCTAGCTTGTTTCTACCATTCATAAATTCTTGTAAGCAGATGTCAAGGCATCGTCCAGATTCTGCATTAACTAACCAAATACACTGCCTATTTAAACCAACTTCTAAATGGTTACCTGTTGACCTTCACCTACAGCTGAAAACTCTGAGTAGATGCAGAGTAAGATGTCCAGGTGGTCATGAGACATATACAGTAGTAAGGTTTCTACAAGCTACAATTAACAGTTCATTATCAGGTATTAAACTAATGTTTTTTCGTCAACTACAGAAAATTTATTAAAAATTAGAACATTTGAAGAATTTGGCATATAACACCTGCTTTTAACACTGGCACTTTAATGGCATAATAAATTATCACAACGACATAACCTTTCACATAGTGAAAACAGATGCTGCAAAGTTACTGTGGCAAGTTATTTTCTGTTATACCTGGTTTTCGGATAAACAAATATTCACAAAAATTAAAATATTTGTTTTTCTCCAATCTTGTGACAAATTCTGCCAACATAATTAAATTTTAAATCATAAACATGTTGCAAGGGAAGTAACTCCTTGACTTGTCAATCAATCCCAAGTAATCTTTTTCTTCAATTCATTTTTCGTACATAAGCAACCATAATTGATAGAGATCAGCTAAAATATATGTTTCCGCAGTTTGTTCTTTTATCCTGATAACAGATGTTTTTGGTTTTCTTAAATTAACGGTGTGTCGAAGCTCAAGTAACAGAAAATCACATGCCTAGTATCTGCTTTGGCACATATACAATAAGCACATTTGCAACCTGGAAATCATTCAACCAATGGCACTTAAACATTTCAACAACTGTAGCAATATTCCAGAACTTTCCACCACTATGGAAGATACACACTACACATATATCAAACACCAGCTGTGCTTCAGTAAGTTCATAAAAAGATTGTTAAAATATATCCATCTAATTAAAAGCATTTGAATTCTGTACACCATATTTAACTGCGAGGATTAAACCATATGATGGTGTTTCCCTAAAGTAAAAGGATAAGTTACCATGGTTACGATGAAACAAGGAATTGTAAAATATTTGTCCATCTACACATGGAATAAGTTGAAATCTTAAAGAGCTAAAGTTATCAGTAAATATTCTGATCATGACAACATAAATTGGCAATTCAACATCCATAGATCGCAAGTAAAGTTATGCTTTGGTCCGAGTGTCAGTATGATAAATATCCAAACTTGATAAAAACAAATTAAACACGGAATCATATCTTCCTAATGATCAATATACTGACCATATCATAATGACAATTAAAAGTGTATTTCTTCGATAAAACACATGGCATATATTTTTTAAACAAGCTCTTTAACTCCTGTGCTTGATCCAAAAGATAATGACTAGAAGAATTCCGGTTTTAAAACTAGTAGACATTTAACTGAGGTATGGTGTTCATTCATGGACATGCAATATTTTGTTTTGGGTGGACTTATGGCACGCTAAGCAAATATTTCTGTGCTGACTTTCTGAAAAACATACAGTCAACCAATGTTTAGGACAGTTGCCCTTTTTTCTGAAAGGAAGACAAGAATCTTGAAGAACCAATCTGAAACAGTGCTGGACAAACAAGGCCACTGACACAACAGTATGATTTGACAATGGTCAAAGTTTACATAGGTCAAACTCCCAGACACTGACTGGACATTCACATATCAGCTGATTATAAATTCTCAAGAAATTCTCAGTCCTTAAGCTGCTTAAATATACATAGACCTGTAGCATGGAAAACAACTTCAATGAGGATAACTCTGTATTAAAATTACCCGGTAACTGGCATATTGCCTTCTTGTAGTCAGATGTAATTATCTCAGTAAGAATTGTAAACATAAATATTGATAGTAATATTGTAATGCTTTGAAACAAAAAAAAAAAGAATTAAAAACTAAAGCAGTTATTAAGGACTATGAAATGGTAAAAAAGAGTATTAAAAAATGCCATAAAAATGGACTGGTATACATCCTGATATATCCTATGCCTAAAACACTTTTGTTTTTTTAAGGTTACCTGAAACCATATATCCCAATTTGTATTTTTTCAAACTCACTAATTTCCTTTCACTTTTTCTTCATTTGATCAACTAAGAAGTCATTTAAACATAATAATAATAATAATAGTCCATTTATATTGCGCGTTTATCCATGCACATTGCATGCTCAAAACCGCTGACATGTTATAACATAAGATACAAGTCTGACTACAAAAGTGTAAAAAAGCTAAAAGAAATAACAAATTCTAAAAATAGTGGAAGGGACTTTTTATAATATGTATACAGAAACTCATTTTATTACTCTTGCTTCAAATATACCTGTGCGATCCATCAGTTCTGCACACAAAACAAATACTGGCAGACACTGTCATTGTAATAGCATCAAAGGGACTTGTGCAAAGCATTCTCTCCACCAAAAACTAGGTTCTGATAATGACTTTGTAATAGTCACACAAAATATGATTTATCAAATGTAAAATAATAACACCCATAAAAAAAACCCCAAACTCTTTCAGTCTTTTAAAAATGTTGTCATTTAGAAAATCAAACCCAGTACACATTCAATAATTTTATCCAAATCCAAACACCCGTTTAAGAAACTTTCTAGACCAAATAATTATATACCTGGGCCTTAAGTGATAATAGGGATCTATATGTATTATCAAAATATTCTTGTGAATTTATTTCACTAATGTAAGTTCGAATTCCAGTCAGGGCAAAGAACATTCATTATATTTTTTTGTTTGAAAAAGTTCATATCTGGTTTTCCATATCAGCATTCTACACAAATTGTAATTGTAAAGAAGATATCCTCCACAGAATCACACCTCAGATACAATCTTCCGCACCACTACTTTCACTTTCAAAAAGGCATGAGCCTTAAATGGATGGAGTGTTATGCTCGTGTTCTACTTTGCTGCTAATTCTGTGCAAAAACTTCAATTTTCAAATGCAGAGTTTGCTTAATCCTAGCTGGGCTGTGAGCAAACATCATGGCGTCTGTTGTAACCTTCAAGGAAATCATGATGATGCTACTCTTTTCTTGATAAAGGCAAACATCTTTTCCCTGGCTTTCAGTCCCAGATCTTTATAGTGGTCTGCAAGACAGAAAATCAGCTTTAACTATTTTACTACCTGCAAAATTTAAACCAAAGTCTAAATCTTTTATAATTATAGGATCACATAAATGTAAAAAACCCTCCATGTTATGTACATCATGTTATGTACTGGTAAATCAAATGATGAGTGATACATACATTAAAGGCTCCCCACTGAGAGTTGCCTTAGTATCTTTATGCTTATTGTGGTAATGCAAAGTGACACGTTTATGTGGTCTCATGTGACCAGTAGTAACCAATCAATGTCAACACAGCTATTATCTGCAGACGACATACCAGGCTTATCGAAGAAACCATGGAGCGATCCTTTAATCATCAGGCTCTCGGCATCGATTCCGGCATCCTTGATTTTTCGCTTGTAATCTGAAAACCAAACAAAGACATGAAACGCTAGAAGGTTTTCAGGAAAAACAGGCAGGGAAGCATTGGCGGAATTGTAACAATTTGCTTTGCAGAGTTGCAGCCCTTAGTTGCGCCAGAGACTTATGACTGCAGGTAATGAATCAAAGCTTTACCATGTTTCTAGGTTTATAAGCACTATCCCTGCATTTGCAGGTTTCACAAAAGTGTAATTTTTTTAGTAAAATTGATATTTTTTACTTATCCTGACTCATGATCTTTTGCTTATCTCCCTTTCCCCTGTGAATGGTAGTGGAACACTTGAATCCCTTGAAGTTCCCGAAGCGGACGTAAAAATACACTCACCCACGAGTTACCTCCCTTTTCCCGCGCAAACAGTCATGTGACCAGCCTTACTTGTCACTCTCTCCTGATTTTTCTGCCCATGGACCTGGATCTACTGTGAAATCCGAAGTGTTTCCAGTGGGGAAGTTGGGAGGGCTTCTCCTCATGAGTCAGGATAAGTATAAAATATCAATTTTACTTAAAAAATTACATATTTTTCCTTATCCTGACTCATGATCTTTTGCTTATAGAATCCGACAGATTGGTTGTGGGTCAAGCCACTTCCTGGATTCAACACGGGATGAATAGACGCTTAAATTTTCTTCTCCTTGTGTTAGACTTCTGATGATATATCTTCAAGGATCTGAGAGGACACAAGGATAAGTCCTGGGTGTCCTCTGGTCCGAGGATCGTAGATAGCGCTGGCACATGGTACTGTCTATCTGGTTGACCAGGTAGTTGATTCTTTGCAATAAAGTCCCATCTTAGTCCTAGATGTACTGCAGCACGGTGCCCGTGTCGAATCCAGTTCATCCAAAGTCCAGCGCATGTATCTCAGACATACGAGCTGCCGTGGCTAGGGCAAGTAGGAACAGAGTTTTCTGTGTGAGTAGCTCGAAGGTAGTCTGTTCTAGAGGTTCGTAGGCATAGCTCATGAGATGATGTAGAATTACATTCAGATCCCAGGCTGGTGCTCTGAATTTCTTTTGCTGGTCCTCCAGTTCAAAAGATCACAGCAGAGCTAGTAATTCTGGTACTTTCGACAATTTGATGCCTGACTTCATAGTGACGACTGTGCTGATGGCTGCCAGATATGTGGATAATGTCGAACCTTTCAAATGTCTTGTATATCTGAGGTGACATAGATATTATGCCACTTGAGGATGAGAAGCTTTCATAGCTGTGAAGCCCTTCCGCCTTGCATATTGTTCTAATTTCTGCCATTTGTCGTCATACAAATTGCGAGTTGATCTGTGTAAAGCTAAGGTTACTGCTTTCGCTGCTCTGGCGGAGTATCCTCTTTTCTTCAGACAGGTTATGATACGGTCCACACGAGTAGCTGGAACAGTGTTGGGTTCCTGTGGTCTTGGTGTGCGGATGTCTGAGTAGGTTCGGCCATTCTGGTAGTTTGAGGGTTGGACTTCCGAGATCTTCCATTAGGTCTAGGAACCAGACTCGCTGGCCAACAGGGTGACCAAAGTCAGTTGTAAGCTTTGTGTCTGTTTGATCTTCAACAGTACTTTCGGTAGTAAGATCGGAGGTGGAAACGCGTGTAAGCGTTTAGTCCTTCCCATGATATGCTCAGTGCATCTGTTGCCCAGGCTTGGGGTCTGGTACTGGTGAAACAAACGCCTGTAGTTGTTTGTTGAACCTCGCGTGGTAACAGGTCTATGCATGGCGATCCTATTTCTCTTATAATGAGCTGGAACGATTCTGGATGGAACATCCATTCCGTGGGTGACGGATAAAGTGGTCGGGAAAGAGTGTCTGCTAGTACGTTCTTGGCTCCCGGTATGTGACACGCCTTTATCCAGATGTATGCCTTCTCTGTGATGATGAACAACTGGAATGTGAGCTGCAGTGGGCTTGGCGATCTTGTTGCTCTTTGCCAATTTATGGAGAATGCCACCGTAGAGTTGTCCGTGTGGATCATCAGCATTCTGTTGCTCAGCGAACTCGACCATAGTTGTACGGCGTTGATCACAGCTTTCATTTCCAGCAGATTGATGTGAAGATGCTGATCTGCTTTTGACCACTTCCCTGATGCAACCTGGTTGTTGAGATGTGCACCCCATCCCTGTAGCGATGCATCTGCGTAAAGATGTGTTTCTAAGACCGGCTCTTGTAAATAGGTCCCTCCGCAGACATTCGATCTGTGAGTCCACCAAAGTAGGTACACTTTGAGATTTTCTGGTAGCGAGATAGGGTCGACTCTGTCCAGATGTTTTGCCAGGAATTATTGCAGCGGCCTTAGTTGTAACCTTCCTGTGCGAGTCAAGTCTTGTGCTGAGGTTAGTAGATCGAGTAGACATTGCCATGTTCGTAGTGTTAACGGAGAGATGACTGCTTGAGGAATCATGGCTTGTATCTTGACCCAACAATCTTCTGGGGTCACAATTCGATTCTGTGTTGTGATGAATCTTATCCCAAGGAATTGGAGATCTTGTTTTGGTTCCAACTCTGACTTCATCAGGTTCACTAGTCATCCTAAAGTACTATCGGAAATAGAAAAAACCCTGTTTTTAGGCTGTTACTCTGTATCCCTAAAATTTACACAGTTGCAAATAGCATATGTCGAAATTCCATTGGAAGTGCTGACCTCTGAATAGGAATCGTAGATATTTCCTTGATTCCGGATGTATGGGGATGTGTAGATATGCATCCTGGAGGTCTATGCTGGCCATATAGTCTGCTGGACGAATTAGTAGTCTGAGTTGCAGTAGGTGGATCATTCTGAACCTTTCCGGTTTGAGTAGATAGTCTTGGTTGAATTTCTGCATGTTGTAAATCAATCTCAATTTCTCTTTGGAATTCTTCTTGGGTACTAGGAAAATTGGGGAGTAGAAGCCTGGTGTGAGATGATATTGATCTATCTTTTCTACCGCATTCTTGGTTAGAAGCGAGTTGATGGCTACTTGTAGTTTGTCTGCTTGCTCGTCTGCTTGGTTGAAGACCATCGGTCTGAGGGTTAACAGTGGTGTGGCCGCCTGGCCTTGAGCTGCACTCTGTACCCTTCTCGCAGTACTTGTGAGACGTAGTCGTCCTCCAGTATTCCCCAATTTTCCCAGTATCTTTGTAGACGTCCACCCACTGTCGATGGTTGTACAGGAATGGCTGGGGGGTAAGCATCCAGTCGTTTCGAACCCCAATTTCAACGTCTAGCTCCTCTGAAACCTCTGGGAGTACGTCCTCTCCCTGAGTTTCCTCTGTAGTTTCCGGATGAGCGACGAATAGAGCTTTTCCCACCTCTGAAGCTGGAGTATTTCTTCTCCTTAGCCTTCTGGATACCGGAATATTTCGACTTGCTGTTGTACTTCTATGAAGTCTTACGTATGACGTTGGCTAGAGTATCTATAGACTTGATCATCATGACTTCCCTTGAGTCGTGAGTAGCTTCCTTAGCTGCTTCATCTATCTCATCTCCAATGATGGTAGGTGCCGCCCAAGGAGCTCTAAGTAGCGGTTGGGTAAATCTGTCACTCCAGGAACAAGATGCCAGTAGACCCTGTCTCCGCAACAAGGTGAGACCTGTCGACCTAGAGGCCAAATGATCCGATATGAAGTATTGGTCCGTCTTCTGAGTGAGCAGAACAGATATTATCATCCTATCTTCTTCCGAACTGGGGTTCCGGAACTGGTTAATCAATGCCTCATTGATTGCTCTGGATCTTGCTAATCCGAAGAAGGATCTCCTCGTCGCGGTATCAAGTTGGGCCAACTTTTTATCCTCCACCTTGTAAATCTTGTTCCGAGAATCGTTGACCAGTTTAATATTCTCATCTAAATCCGGCGCTCTCATAAAGGGATCCATGTGATGTAAGGGGAATTTCCTCGCATTAAATGCTGGCAGATGTTGATTCTGGAATCTAGTAGCTTTGTCAAAAGATATGGGTAGGTTCGAAGGCACCTTGCATATCGGCTCAATAGGAGGAATGGTAACCAAGTCGAAGTCGTCCTTGCACATCTTATAAGTGTAAGCATCATCCAATTCCTTGGAGGGAGACTCTAAGTTCAATCCATTAGCTATCCAAGCTGTAACCTCCATATCTGAGAAGACATAGTCGATATGTTAATCAGATAGTTCTTGTTCCGTAGAGCTATGCCTTCGCGAATCCTCCATATGCGAACCTTCCTTTCGCAAATGTTGTGATTCATCCTTTCGCGAACGTCTGTCTCGTGATTCATCCCTTCGCGAAACTAGTCCTCTTCACGAACCTCACCCTTCGCAAACTTCCTTTCATGAACCTTGCCTTCGTGAACATTCCCTTCGCGTGTTGAGCTGTGGGATCTAGATCTGGATCGACTGGCTCTTGGGGATGGATTCCTAGGCGTTCTCGAACGTTGAGGGTTCGCAGACGAAGTTCTCGTAGAGTTAGTAGCCTTCGCGAACTTTCCATCTTGTTGTATGATGACAGAGTCGTCCGATTGTGATGACCTCCTTGAACATACACGGTCGCCAACGTTGTCTGCAGTTGTAGATCTGTGAGACGTATTAGGTTCGCGTAGCTCTGAGGGCTTGCGAACGTTGTCAGATGATGGACTGTTCTGTCGTGCCTTCGCTTCCTCATCAAAACGTTGTTCCCTCATGGCCATCATTTGAGTAGTAAATTGCCTCATAAAAGCGCCAGGATCGAAGTTCTGCATTGACTGATGGAACTGATTCGTTAATGCGTTGAGAAGTTAGCGGTTGGTCGATCAAACAGCTGATGTGTTGTTGTAGCTTCAACTTCACTGCGCTTTGAGAAGTTGGTGGTTGGTCATCAAACAGCATTGTACCCATGTGGGGATTGAACGGCTGTTGTAGTTGCAGGAGACGATCTAGTAGTTGTGGAGGTCGACTACATCGTCGATCTAATAGGTACTTCGGGCAGAAGTAACGGTGGTTCATCAAACACGTCTGCTTCACGCGGTAGAATGATCTCCTCATTAAACGACCTCTGATGAGTTGACTTGCTAGGTCGTGTTGATTTCGATGTTGACCTAGTTATAGATGCCCCTTTCTGCGTTGTGGATGAAGCAGTAGTCTTTTTCTTACTCTGAGAGGGCGTCAACTCCGTCGTAGCAGACCTCTTTTTCGACCCCATAATCGACGACTGCCCCTGCAACGTACTCAACATAGCACCAGAATTATGTATTTCTGCAGGAGGAAACAACCTACGGTTACCGGCTTGATCTCCAGGTTTATCAACCGTGACTTGTGATGACTTCCTCACCCGATCCATGGCACGTCTATAGATATAAGACAAATATTGATTAAATTGCAAATTTGATAAATCACTGCAATATATACAACGTGAGGTGGAAGAACATGGCTTAATGCACGATGGGCATAGGGGGTGAGGATCAGCCACTGATAGCCGGTGCCTGCAAACAATGCAAGATTTCATGAAATGTAAATAATTTACATTATGATGAAATTATGTCACCAAATTTTATACAATTAATACATGATAGTAATAGTCAAATACCATACACAGCATAATTTTGATAAATAGGATCTAAATATAACCGATATCTGCCGTATACGGGACTCCAGTGCTCACCCAACCATCCGCCTTGGCGAAAAGGGAGAGAGTGACAAGTAAGGCTGATCACATGACTGTTTGCGCGGGAAAAGGGAGGTAACTCGTGGGTGAGTGTATTTTTACGTCCGCTTCGGGAACTTCAAGGGATTCAAGTGTTCCACTACCATTCGCAAGGGAAAGGGAGATAAGCAAAAGATCATGAGTCAGGATAAGGAAAAATATAGTAAGCATATCTCCTCAAGTTTCATACTCGTGAAGACCCGGGTTAGATTTGTCTTCAGCAACCCATGCTTGTCGTAAGAGGCGACTAACGGGATCAAATGGTCAGACACACTGACTTGTCATCATATCCCAATTGCGTTTATCAATGCTCATGCTACTGATCACTGGATTGTCAGGTCCAAACCTGATTATTTACAGACCGCCGCCATATAGATGAAATATTGCTGAGTGCGGCGCTAAACAACAACCAAATCAAACCAAACCTTAAGTTTCCCCTAAAATACATCTGGTACTCTGTGTTTCATAAGGCAGCAGTGGGTGTGATTATATTATGCACAAATTATGATATTAAGTTACTTGGCAACAGACAATGTGAGTGTATGTTGTTTTATGCAATGAAAGTCATCATTTCCAAGGGCGGATCCAGGACTTTGGAGAAGTGGGGGTGCACATAAATCATGACAGCCAAAGGTTAAGGGGAAATGTTTTTCAGGGAATTTTTGTTTTTTGTGAGTGAGTGAGTGAGAGTGAGTGAGTCCACATTTGGACACATAACCTATGTCGTTGATTCTACAAGTGAGTGAATGTTGTTTCAGCTGAGTGAGTGAGTGAGTGAGTGAGTGAGTCCACATTTGGACACATAACCTATGTCGTTGATTCTACAAGTGAGTGAATGTTGTTTCAGCTGCAGCCTGCCATATCTTCCGGTATAATTGCAGCCACTAAATAAACTGACAGCATCACCTACTCTCCATGCTATTAGTTTACAGTGACATTATAATCATACATGTGAGAGAACTGACCCTCCCTTCTTAGTCAAGTCTTGCAGCATTTACCCCGTAACCTTTTCTCATCACATTCTCCACAGTTTGATTGTCAAAGACAGATAGTTGTATGGCTGCCTGCCACATTTCTACACTTTACTAACCAAGTATGGGTTGACGCCGCTTTTACAAATATTCAAGCAATATCATGGCAGGGGACACCAGAAATGGGTTTCAAACATTGTGCCCATGTGGGGAATCAACCCAGGTCTTCGACATGACGAGTGAACACTTTATCCACTAGGCTACCCCAACTGGCCTCAACAGTTAACACCTGTGAACAGTGAACTGTCTCCATTGGATCTTAAAGTCATCCGACAGGGACCTGATGGGGGCGGTTGGGTATCCTAGTGGTTAAACTGCAGGAATATTGTTAAAGCGACTTAAAACTAAACTGGCATCACAAACAACCTGGCTGGGTATCCTAGTGGTTAAACTGCAGGAATATTGCTAAAAGCAACTTAAAACTAACTCACTTACAACCTGATGCCCCCCCTAATGTACTCACTATATGCCTGGTCACGGAGCGGATCAAACTCGGCAAGAAGCAGGAGAGTGGGCGGGAGGCAGGTAAAGCTCTCACGAAACAGTGGGGATGCTCGTGGGTTTTTTTCTTCTTCAGGATTGTTCACAACTTTGTCTACACACCTTGGAAAAATATACAAAACCACTGTTTAATATATATGAGATAAATACGAAATCTTACCCACTCAGCTAATGCAGTGTCTGAGGGGGTTAGATCACTGACTCTGTTGTGCTGGCAATTCCTTGCCTGACTCTGAGAGTATGAGTTCAAATCCCAGATGGGACTCAATCCATAAATATACTAGAATCTTTACTTCACTGAGAAAGTGTAATCCCAAATATAACATATGAACGATTGCATGAGGCTAGTTGTGTCTCGTCTTCCCTGATTCATGACAGTGGTCAATACTCAATCTACCGGTATTCTCTGCAGAAATTATACTGACCATCTCAGAATTCCAACAGTCAAAATTGGGCCATTTTCAAATTCTGTACAAGATGGCTGGTCACATGTCAGATCAAGCCAGGGGTACACCAGCACCTGACAATGAAACATGTCAATGTAGAGCATAGTCTCTGAGATACTGAATACTGTACTTCAATGTAGAGCAAGTCCTCATTGAGATATACCAGTGAACATATGGGCTAGCATTGGTCTTCAGCAAGCCATTATTGTCTTAAGAGGTCACAAACATGATAAGGTGTTCAGGCAAGCTAACTTGGTTCAAGATGCATGTCATTATATTCCAATTACGTAGAAACAATACCCATGATACCAACTTTACTGGATTGTTTGGTTCAGGTTCGATAGTTGGAAGAATAATGTCACATGGCTGTGTGCGGTGTTAAACATGATACCAACTTTAGTGGGATAACAAGATTTCACATCCGTTTAGAGCATAGTCCTTACTGGGATCAAATGCATCACATATCGAAGCAGGACCTGGTTCTTACTGACACATCAAGCATACTGCATCAATGCAGAGCATAGTTCATACTTGTATAACAAACATTTAGTTACTTGGGGCAAATTCTGCCAGGAATCAAAAAGCACATGGATCGTACCTGGAACGCGATTCCTTTCGTCACTTCATGGCACAAAGTTGCGGCTATTGTCCCTCCAGCACTGCAGCCAACCAATCCGATCTTGCTTTCATTGGTGCCACCTGGAGGCAAGATGTGGTACTATGAAGTTATCTCAGAGTCTAAATGAAGTCACCTCAGCTTCTGCCATGACGAAAACAAATCAATATATTTTGTACAACATCTTTTTGTTTGTAATGTTGTTAAAATAATTCTACAGTTTACTTGGCCAGTGCCGAAGTTCTGAAGCTCGAGCTGACTTGGCTCTGCTCACTACATCAAACAAGAGAGTTTTCTGCTCCAGTCACCACACCACAGGTGTAAGCTTATCACATGACCAGACTTTTCTCCTTTGCAAACATACACACTTATCCTGAAATATGAACAGGTGGGCCAAATTCAAGCCTCAAGATAAGCATACATTCAGTCTTCCACAATTCCTGCTGTGATATTGCTGGCACATTACCAAAAGTGTCGCCGTGACCTTGAAAATTACGTGAAGGTCACCAAAATGGACTGGACCTTGCGTCTGCCCTAGATAAAGCTTGGTGTCAAATATGAAGAAAGTCCAGTAAATTGTTCTTGAGATATCGCGCTGACAATCTTTACATGCAGGTTAACATGCTGAAATCTTCTTCAAAGTGTCGCCATGACCTTGAATATTATGTGAAGGTCACCAAAATCGACTGGGCCCTGCGCCTTCCCTAGATAAAGCTTGGTGTCAAATATGAGGTGAGGTGTGGTGAAATTGGGTTTAACGTCGTGCTTGAGAATATTTCGCTCATATGACGACGTGCATGTGCATGTGTATGTGTATGTGCGGCTGCTTGTACTAGCCCAGACTTAAGCTGGTTTTATAGTGCTAGCCCACTGAGATACCATGCCGCAGTGAAGCATGAATACCCCACTCAGACACATTATACTGACTCCGAGCCGACCAGTCCTTGTTGTAGCCATTAATGCCAAGCACAAGGCAGGGACCATAAAGTACCATATTTTAACGTCTTTTGTTATGACGCGGTCGGGGATCGAACCCGCGACCTTCCGCTCTCCGGGCGGACGCTCTAACCACTACACCACGGAGGCGGTCGTGTCAAATATGACTGACTGACTGACTGAGTTTAGTTTTACGCCGCTTTTAGCAATATTCCAGCAATATCACGGCCGGGGACACCAGAAATGGTGTCAAATATGAAGAAAGTCCAGTGAACCGTTCTTCAGATATCTCGCTGACAATCTTAACATGCAGTTTAACATGCTGAAATCTTCAAAGTGTCGCCGTGACCTTGAAAATTATGTGAAGGTCACTAAAATGGACTGGACCTCGCATCTTCCCTAGATGAAGCTTGGTGTCAAATATGAAGAAAGTTCAGTGAATGGTTCTTGAAATATCGCGCTGACAATCTTTACATGCAGGTTAACATGCTGAAATCTTCAAAGTGTCGCCATGAACTTGAAAATTATGTGAAGGTCACTAAAATCTACTGGGCCCTGCACCTTCCCTAGATGAAGCTTGGAGTCAAATATGAAGAAAGTCCAGTCAATGGTTCTTGAGATATCTCGCTGACAAGGGTAAAACGTTAAAGTCCCCCTTGTGACCTTGAAATAAAGGTCAAGGTCACCAAACGTGACTGGGATCTTTCTTATACTGTGATGAACCTAGGTACCAAATATGAAAAGAATCTAGTCAACGGTTCTCAAGATATTCCAATTCGTACGTACGTATGTACCGACGGAGCCTAATACTAAATCCCCCGCTTAGCGCTAAACGCGCGGCGGAGGATAATTATACAGATATGCTACTATGACTGCAACAGAGAGGTGCATCACGATATAGATTTACACAATAAAGTGACCATTTCTCCAGCTCTGTGATGCCTAGATGACAGCGCATAAAACTGTAACAATGGATAAACATGCTCATAAAAGTTTTCCATTTTAGGATATTTTCTCAATGAAAGCGAAACAAATGTGAAAACATTATATCTTGAATGGATCGTGTAAGACATGATGATATGTCAGAGGTACGAGGCTGGTCACAAGGAACTCTGGGCAAATGGAGTGTTCTGCAAAGTGATGTGCTTCATACAACTTTGGCATTAATAATGGAATCTAGGGTATGATAAATACTGGCTCTTAATCCTATCAGGCTTACAATTTTTTAATCCTATCAGGCTTACAATTAGTATTTAGTAACTCATCTGTAAGAAATTCACACAAGCTTTCTTTTCAAACCAATGATAATATGACAGTTATTATGCACAGCACTTCACTGTGCAGAACTTGTGTTCTGTTCCTGAGAAATGAATTGTGTATGCATGATAAAATAATGTCTGTGACACAAACCCTGGCAGAAATACATCCAATACAACCAGTGCAAGTTGATACTGATTACATTTGGCAAGTCTAGGTTCAAGTGGCACCTATTCATTATATTTCATTAAGATGATGAAAGAACTACTTTTTTCCTGTAAACAATGTTCTTTTCCAAGACCAGTCTACTGTCAATGTAGTGCTTCAAAAGTGCTTAATGTGTCTGGAATACCAACAAAGACAATTAGTAAATATTTCAATCAGTCTGGTCTTGTTAACCATTTTAACCCGACTTTGACCCTACCTATGAGAGCCTTGTTCATCAGTACCCATCGCAGAACATTCTTCCCGTCCTCAAAGGCTGCTGGGAACTTGTTTTCTGGGGCCAGTCGATATTCCACGTTCACAACAACACATGGAAGGTCTCTGAAAAGTCAAAGGGTTAATCAACAATGTTCAGAAGTAAGGGTTGTCTTAGACTTGCACAAGTCTCTAAAGTAATAATCAATAGTTTTATAGAAAATTTCTAAAAAATATAAATAACAGACTGGCATCCTTAGATGTCCGCTTATCTAGACTTGCCTCTTTAAAGGATAGGATTATTATACATCCATGGACATAGCATTCAGTACAGCCTTGGAGCAAAACTATACTGTCCGCTTATCTAGACTTGCCTCTTTAAAGGATAGAATTACCATACATCCATGGACATAGCATTCAGTACAGCCTTGGAGCAAGGCTAGGGTTGTCCTGAAGCCCTTGTGCATGTTGAGGTTCGGCCCGATGACCTATATACAGGCCTACCATACAAACGATGAACAAATCATCAAAACTGAACTCATATACACCAAAACAGAACAAAAATCACCAAAATAGGAAAATAAACTTCCAAAACTGCAAGAATATCCTCTAAAACCGAAACAATACATCTGTAATGGAAGACTAATCGTTTGAAATGGAAACAAAACTTCGTGTATCAGCTACAAGAGCGTGAGAACGGTCGCCGAGCGTACAAAACGACATTCATAGCATCCCAACACGGCAGTCATAGCATCCCAAAATGGCATACAAATCGTCAAAGATGGTGGCGAGGGGAGACAAATAGGCTTTGGTACATAATGTTTTTCGTCACTATGAGTCTAATCTTGAAAATTTGATATCGGGATGTAGTGCATAAACCCCCTATTGTAGTAAGCTTCAAACCTATGTCCATACTTCTCAGTGTCAGGCTTGCAATTCTACACAATGTGGTCCCTCATTCAACCAAATAGGATTTCTTGTCAACATGTCGGGCTACTGTTTCTCTTCAGTTTTGTAAATAAAGTATTCATAGCATCACATTCAACATTACTATATTTTAGTGATTTAAAAAGTTTACAAAAACTTTGTTCATTCTTAACTGCACAGATTGTCTAAAAGCATCAACAACTAATACATATTGGCAAATGAACATGGCATTAAAATATGGTAATGATACCATAACTTGTATTTATGAAATCACAGAAGCAATACATTGTTAACGGGACAAGGGGGGGTTAGTAAAATAAAATATTTCTTCGGTTTACAGATTACTAATCTTCTGGTCAGTGGGATTGAATTTAATAAAAAAAAACCCATTCTGATTCAGTGTGCAAAACAGCTACTGGCTCGCTAGCCCGTGGCTAGTAAAAATCCAGTCGGGCCAGTATATGTCCACAGTCACTGGCCCGACTTGCTAGTGAATTTTCACGGGGTCATTTTGTCTTGCCGAAGTTATGATACACTTTTAAATCATGCAAGAATATGGCCTGATAAAAATGTTAATCACATTAGCAGCTTAATGATGAAACCTGTGTCTACATTCAAAATTTCGGACTAGAAAATTATTCTGTTGGATAGTAACTTTCAGGCATAGCTATCCCGTCTGGCTTGCAAAATTTGGAAACTATTTCGCACACTGTTCTGATTATCATATTTCTTTGTTGATATGATGTATATCAATTCTCATGATCATAATCACTGGATTATCTGGTCCAGAATAGAATATTTACAGACTGACGTCATTGCTGGAATATTGTTAGGGGTTAGATAACAGACATACTGCCACTAAACTGCCCTACACTGTGAAGGCCACAGTTCCACCCCGACACTCACCTCGCCAATACCTGGCAGATTGGCCTGTCCGCCTCCTTCGACCCGAACACCAGGCCCCCTCCATGGAAGTACACCAGGATGATGGGATTGCTGTTGCAGCTCCGTGGTTTGATCACATCAATGGGGATCCCATCTGGAAAAGGAAGAGTCTCATGTACACTTATTGTCCGTTTGGGTTCAAATGAGAATGATGAATGATTAAATATCTCGAAAAAGGGATAAGTGCACAAAACATAAATAAGACATGATGTGATTTTTATGGAAAAGCATGTACAATGTGAATGACACCCCCTAAAATTCATGTACAAAATCAATGACCCCCCTCTCCCTTCCCATAATTTTTAAGCCTAGTTTTAAATATTTTTTATGTACAAAATTGCTGAGCCTCCCCTAGTACATGTGTACAAAATTGATGCCCCCCCCCATCCCCAGAAGAAAATGGGTGATACCCCTTTAAAATCATCATCACTCCCCCTAGCCATAAATTATGAACGGCCTCTTAGTAAAATAATTTAGTCAAATTCCTGGATTGTAAATTTGGTGATTTGATCGCACAGTTTGAGATAATATTAAATAAATATTGTCAAAGCTTGTCTGATATTTTCTGCAGCATTTTACCCATGAGTTTATAGTACAAAAAAGTGTAATAGCCACAAAAAGAGTGTTCACACATAAGAAAACCACAGAGTGTGAAAATCAAGTTCTACTGCAGAGCTCTATCCACAGCTCAGCCAGCTCCCATCATGGTCCATCACACAGGTCGTATCTGACCAGACTGCAGATTTCTCAAGGATTACAACATGTCTGTGATACAAACATAGTTCCTCTTATACTGGCTATGCTCCAGATTTGTTTCTCGGTGTATGATACTGCCTTGTGTCAAGCTGTGTAGTCCATCGCTGCTTGGAATGTTACTTATCTGCTGACATGTTTATTACAACACAAGATCCTCCTAGATAAGGATGCTTTCTCACCAGCTTCAACATCAATACAACAAACATGACACATCAAAATGCTACTTCTCAAAAGGAATTTGGCATAAATCCACAATCAAACCATGGCTTCGTATGGGCAAGCCCTGAGATGTATATAATCAAATCAGAAGATAGTCTGACCTTTCTGACCTGTAAAGGGAAAGATACTTCCATCATATCAAGACTGGGGAAGGAATGCTTTTATGCTGCTGTTCCTGGAAAAACTTCATTTGATAATATATCTAAATAAATTTTTTTTTTTTTTTTATTTTTTAAATTTTTTTTTTTTTATTCCTGTAGACATATTACATATTATTTTTATTATTATTCATATTATATAATCACATGTCCTACAGGACATGAAAACTAACTAACTAACTAACTAACTAACTAACTAACTAACTAAATATCATTCTTTCACACTTTTATACCCATGCATACTGGTACACACCTAAAAGTAAATAAGTCATAAATTTTCATTAATTACATTTGCCCATACATTGCCCATTTCATTTCAAAGTCATTAAACATTGCTTTATTCCAATATCTTACATTATCTATCAAATAATAGGATTTCAATTCTTTCTTAAAGTGATATACAGTGGGTGATATTTTCCTCAGCTTATATATATCTAAATAATTAACCCTATGTCCTGGGGGATCAATACTGTATGGCTGTGTCTGTCATTTCATTGATAAACATTGTTGTTTGGGTGTTATAACTGACTAGTATATTCTGGTAAGAATTATACTCAAATTCTGTCAACAGCAGATGTTTTTCAATCTAACATTGAGAGAGCAGTTGGTTGGGCTTTAACACTGTGTTTAACAGTATTCCAGTTATATCACGTCTCATCGGCTGAATGTGTGAGAATAGTTGGCAGTGATGCATCAATCTAACATGGTAATCTCCATCAAGTACCGGTATACTGGCCACATAAAGAAACTGTGCACACAGGAAATATAAAGATAGACAGACAGTGTCTTTATACATAAATAAAGGTGTGAACATGCTCATCATGCCAAAATTAACATCTGCTCAACGTCACGAAACCCTTGGAATGGTTCGAGCAGGCATGAGCCAACAACAGGTGGCAGCACATTTCCAATGCCATCGTAACACGATATTAGCATTGGTCAGTTGTTATGGAAACAGTAATGATGTCGCCGACCACCCACGTTTTGGGGCGTCCCCGAGTAACGACGCCAAGACAGGACAGATGGATTCGGGTGAATAATCTCAGACACAGGTTCTAGACGGCAGTGACCACGTCCCAAACCATTCCCCAGGACTTCAATGCTCCTTTGGTAGCCTATATGCGTCGCCGATGCACTGCTGTGCTTCACGCGCATGATGGTCATACCCGTTATTGACTTTGTGACTTCGTCGTGTGACCCCCTACTCAGTTTTGAACTTCTGACGTCATCGCTACGGATATTGTTCATGTTCTTTTGACATGTTGTTGTGGCCCGATACTTCAGCTTATAAAGTGTCTACAACATTTCGTCTTTTCTGTGTTGTATTCCAATTCTGAAGGAATTTTCTGTGTGCACAGTTTCTTTATGTGGCTAGTATACAATCTGATGGATATGACATCACGGAACTTTGTGGAGATCAGGTGAGGCATACCACACCACCAGCTAAGGACACCAATACATGTTCATGCCCCCCAAGTTATTACTTCGATTAAGCTGGACTCAAAAATAGATGGGTCATAAATCCAAGAATAATCAACATGAAACAAATAGATGACCCTATTACTAATTTCCTAGTTGAACCTGACTTAATGATGAAAAGTAATCATGACACTCTCATTCTGCCATATATAGCGGTCCCTTCATTAACAGGTGGTACATTCATAGCCCATCACTTTCCCCATGGATGATCATGAAGCCTAAATGTTGCTGCAATCATCATCTTGGTCAGGACATGGTGTAGAGAACTGACGTGGTCACAGATGGGGAGAGTTGTGGGTACAACATGGTCACTGATGGGGAGAGTTGTGGGTACAACATGGTCACTGATGGGGAGAGTTGTGGGTACAACATGGTCACTGATGGGGAGAGCTGTGGGTACAACATGGTCACTGATGGGGAGAGTTGTGGGTACAACATGGTCACTGATGGGGAGAGCTGTGGGTACAACATGGTCACTGATGGGGAGAGTTGTGGGTACAACTTGGTCACTGATGGGGAGAGCTGTGGGTACAACATGGTCACTGATGGGGAGAGTTGTGGGTACAACATGGTCACTGATGGGGAGAGTTGTGGGCACAACAACATGGTCACTGATGGGAGAGTTGTGGGTACAACAACATGGTCACTGATGGGGAGTTGTGGGTACAACTTGGTCACTGATGGGGAGAGTTGTGGGTACAACATGGTCACTGATGGGGAGAGTTGTGGGTACACATGGTCACTGATGGGGAGAGTTGTGGGTACAACTTGGTCACTGATGGGGAGAGTTGTGGGTACAACTTGGTCACTGATGGGGAGAGTTGTGGGTACAACTTGGTCACTGATGGGGAGAGTTGTGGGTACAACTTGGTCACTGATGGGGAGAGTTGTGGGTACAACATGGTCACTGATGGGGAGAGTTATGGTACAACTGATTGGTCACTGGGATGGGGGAGAGTTGGGGAGAGTTGTGGGTACAACTTGGTCACTGGATGGGGAGAGTTGTGGGTACAACTTGGGGTCACTGATGGGGAGAGTTGTGGGAGCCTTGGTCACTGATGGGGAGAGTTGTGGGTACAACATGGTACAACATGGTCACTGGTACAACTTGGATGGTCACTGATAGAAGGGGAGAGTTGTGGGTACAACATGGTCACTGATGGGGAGAGTTGTGGGTACAACATGGTCACTGATGAAGGAGAGACTTGGTCTGTAGGGAGAGAGAGTCACTGATGGGGAGAGTTGTGGGTACAACATGGTCACTGATGGGGAGAGTTGTGGTCACTGATGGGGAGAGTTGTGGGTACAACATGGTCACTGATGGGGAGAGTTGTGGGTACAACATGGTCACTGATGGGGAGAGTTGTGGGCACAACATGGTCACTGATGGGGAGAGTTGTGGGTACAACATGGTCATGGTCACTGATGGGGAGAGTTGTGGGTACAACATGGTCACTGATGGGAGATGGTCACTGATGGGGGAGAGCTGTGGGTACAACATGGTCTGATAGGCTGATGAGAGTTGGGTGGGTACAACTGATGGGGAGAGTTGTGGGTACAACACTGATGAGTGGGTACAACATGGGATGGGGAGAGTTGTGGGTACAACTTGGTCACCAATAGGGAGAGAGTTTGGTACAACATGGTCACTGATGAGAGTTGGGGAGAGTTGTGGGTACAACATGGTCACTGATGGGGAGAGTTGTGGGTACAACTTGGTCACTGATGGGGAGAGTTGTGGGTACAACATGGTCACTGATGGGGAGAGTTGTGGGTACAACATGGTCACTGATGGGGAGAGCTGTGGGTACAACATGGTCACTGATGGGGAGAGTTGTGGGTACAACATGGTCACTGATGGGGAGAGTTGTGGGTACAACATGGTCACTGATGGGGAGAGTTGTGGGTACAACATGGTCACTGATGGGGGGGAGAGTTGTGGGTACAACATGGTCACTGATAGGGAGAGTTGTGGTACAACATGGTCACTGATGGGGAGAACATGGTCACTGATAGGGGGGAGAGTTGTGGGTACAACTTGGTCACTGATGGGGAGAGTTGTGGTACAACATGGTAACAGTACAACTTGGTCACTGATGGGGAGAGTTGTGGGTACAACATGGTCACTGATGGGGAGAGTTGTGGGTACAACTTGGTCACCAATAGGGAGAGAGTTGGTACAACATGGTCACTGATGGGGAGAGTTGTGGGTACAACTTGGTCACTGATAGGGGGAGAGTTGTGGGGAGAGGTACAACATGGGTCACTGATGTACAACATGGAGAGGGAGAGTGTGGGTCACCAGACTGTGGTCACTGGATAGGAGAGGGTTGGTACAAGAGTGGTAGGAGAGTTGTGGGTACAACATGGTCACTGATGGAGGGGAGTTGTGGGAGTCACCAATGTTGGGTACAACAATGGTCACTGATGGGGAGAGTTGTGGGATGGTCACTGATGGGGAGAGCTGTGGGTACAACATGGT